TGACAACCTTTGAAGTTTTGGCAACTTTCCAACAAGATTTTCAGTTTTCGGCATGATTTTCAGTTTTCGATGTTAGTTTTCTATAAATCGATGAACTTTCTGTGATTCAACCCAGATTTCGACGTAAATTCTCAGAATCTAATGAAGTTCAACTAGTGTTATTGGGGTTCTAGAGATAAAAAGAGAGAAAAGAGAAAATGAGAGATAGATAGGAAGAGAACTATAAAAGAAAAAGAAAAATTTTATCATTTTATATGCCTGGTCAAATGACATCATTTTAGAGGTTTAATAGCCTCACGATCTATGTTTCTATTTGGCTTAACCCGATTCAAAGTGTTGACCCATTTTTTGACCAATTTTAGTCTTTGTCTCAAGTCGAGTTGAGCCATTTTTTAAGTCGTTCCAATTTTTGTCTCAAACCAAGCTGATCCAAGCTGCTTTTTAACCCATTCTAACCTTTGTCTCAAGTTGAGTCGAGTTACTTTTTGAGCCGTATCTTTGGAGCTACTTTCTATGCCTGAAGCCAAGCCACGTCACAGTCGTTGAAACTGAGCCAATTCTATTTAGTATTTATTTATTTATTTATTTTAAAGTATTTTTACATGATTAAATTTTAAGAAAAATAAAAAAATAAAACAAAATAAAATATTTTTTTGAGAACAAATAATAATTATCCAATAATGGAATATTTAAAAATTTTAAATGATAAATTTTTATGAAATTCTTAGGTGAATTTTTTTTTTAAATTTATCCCAAATGGTGAAATAATTTAGATAAAGTTTCAATAATAATTAATATTTATTTTCAATCAAAAAAATAAAAAAATTTTAATAAAAATTTGGAATTAACTACTAATTACCTAATGATAAGATTCTTAAAAATTTTAAATGGCAAATTTGTTAAGAAATCTCTGAGTGAGAAAATTTTCTAAATTTATCTCAAATGGTGGAATAATTTAGATGAAATTTTAATAAAAGTAATTGTATTATTTTTTAAATAAAAATTTGATTGAAAAATATGTAATAATTATCCAATGATAAGATTATTAGAAATTTTAAATAATAAATTTTTTAAAAAATCTTTAAGTGAGAAATTTCTTTAAATTTATTCCAAATTGTGGAATAATTTAGATGAAATTTTAATAAAAGTAATTGTATTCTTTTCCAAATAAAAATTTGGTTGAAAAATATTTAACAATTATCCAATAGTAAGATTCTTAGAAATTTCAAAAATGTAAATTTCTAAAAAAATCTCTAGGTGAAAATTTTCTTTAAATTTATCACAAATGGTGAAAAAATTTAAATGAAACTTTAAGAAAATAGTTATCATATTATTTCTTTTTTCTAAAGGTGAAAAAATAAAAAAAAAATTTTTAAATAGACTCAAATGGTAAAAAACTTAAAATAAAAAATAAATTCTGATTGTGAAATTCTTAATAATCGTAAATTGTTGATTATTTAAAAAATTTTTAGTTGAGATGATATTTTTAATTTGGCCTAAATAGTAAAATAATTAGATATATTATCAATAATAAAAGTAAAATAAAAAAATGATCAAACTTTTTTCCGATGAGGGAGCCTCTTAAAAAAATAAATTGGATTCTTAACTACTCTTGAGGTGAGAAAAGATTTTTAAAAATTCTATAAGATTGATAGAGAAATTTTAAAAATTATTTTCAATATTAAACTTAGGACAATTAGAATTAAGACTTTAGAATAATTTAAAATAAAATATATATCATTTTTTAGATGAACATGTGAGGGTACTATAACATTTTTAATATGTAACCAAACTCTTGAACCCTATTTTAATTAGTAAAAATTTATTTTTTTAGGGACTTTTAATTAAACTTAAGAACTCATTAAAATAATAAATTTATTAAATGATCAATCACACTTAATTAAAAAAAGATTGATGATAATTTTTAAATTAAATCTAATTATAGATTTTTAAATCTATATGATAGGATAATATTTTTTAAAAATTATTTTCTACGAAATTACGGAGCTTTTGTGTGTGTGGAAAAAATCAACACTTTTCAACAAATGCATATCCAGTAAAGTCTGACTCTTCAATCCTAGTCATCTCACCCATGACGTTCAATCAACTTGATCAATTACTTGATTTTTTTTGTGGAAATTAAATGTATGGAATTTTGCTCAGATCGTGTTTAGGTTTCAGACTTCGCTTTCAAGTTCATTCTTATATATGTGGAACAAAAGTGCAAATAAAATATTAAAACAATTTCTATCTTGTGGAAGTATATTGTTCTTGGACTTCCTTTGATACTCAAACATGACTGATTCAACTATTTGAAATTTCATAAGATAGCAGTGATTCTAATCTGTCTAAGTTTTGAATTTGATACTGTTTAAATATTTGAAATTAGATTCCATTCAATAAAAATTAGATTCTATGTTATTTAATTATTAAATTTTTTTGAACTCATCTGAAAGTTTTGAGTATATTCAAATATTTGAAATGTTATAACTCGCTGAAAAAGAAGTTTTTGTGACAGAACGTGATATGTTTCAACTAACATGGGCTTGAAATTACTAGGTAGGGTAAACCTTCATAATTAAAAAATGCCTAACATTATAATACAATGACCAAATAACAAAAACTAATTAACTTTGACAAAGAATAACATAAGCCCTTTAATTTTATTTTTTATAATTTTGATTCTTTGATTGTTAAAATATTTTTCTTTGAATATTTTAGTTATGGAGGATTTAATCAATTAAGGATGATTTTCTTAAACATACAAGATCAATTAACTATTTATGTGAATAAAAAAAAATGAAATACATGATTATATATATTTCAAATTATTTTATTGGTAGTGCAAAAGAATTTGCTAGGCATATTGAATAAAGTAGAATTGATGAAGTTCTTACTGATGTGTAATGTTTACATTGAATTATTTAATAATATCAATAGTTATATAATTTGTTGATAAAATGTTGAATTTTTGAGTTTAGTAAGTAAAAATTACTAAATGTTCAATTTAAAACCTAACGTTTGAGTGTTTTTTTAATTAAAGATATCATTTTTTATTTGGTTCAATTTAAAATTAAATATTTTCAAACTGATTCAAAATAATACTTCGTAATAAAAGTGTAATGCACACGTTATTAAATTCTAAAATCGTTAAGTTCTTTATCAGTAAAAATATTAATTCTTTCAAAAATTTTAGAAAAAAAAACAAATATTAGACGAATATTTTCAAAAAAAAAAAAACTCAAAACCAAATTATCTTAAAAATAGTTCTTTAAACATTTCCTTTACTGTTGTAGATGTCTTTGCTTTTGAATCTACGTTTTTGTCGCTTCTCTTATCGTTTCTTCACTTCTTGTCTCCTTAAAGTTTGAATCTCACTTTTTTTTTTTATATATATTTTGTGGATGTTTGGATGTCAAGAAAGTGTGAAAAAATAAGAAAAAAATAATAAGTTAATTTTGAAAAGGAATATTTTTTTTTATCTTTTAAATAATAATCTTTTATGCTAAAATGAAAGCTTGTCAAAAAATATTCCCTTCAATAATAGTCGCAAGCACCAATGGTTCAATCGAGGAGCTATTCATTCGGGTAATTTTAACTTCTTCTTTCATTCAATTGGAAAGAGAATGTTGGTTTTTGTTTCCTCTTCAAATTTGGATTCTCTTCTTTTTTTGTTCTAGTTTTAGTGGTTTTTATTTGTTTAATATTTGACAAAGGTTTAGTTTTTTTTATGCATGAATTTTATTTTATTTTTTTGTTGAGAATTTTATCCTTTTTAGAGGAGTTTTTTTTAATCTTCCCGGAATATTTTTATGGGTTTGGCTTTCTTTTTTAAAATTGATTCTTTGAGATTGGTTATCTAATATAATTTTATTTTTTGATTTAGAGTTTTTTGATGTATTTTGTAGGTATTTGGATGTTGATAAAGCATGGAAAAAAAAAATGATGGGTTAGGCTTGAAAAGAAGGATAATTTTTTGGGTTTTTGACTTGGTTATTTTTAAATGTTTGGTTGCCCCAGAAAGACTAGGAAAATGAGAATAAATGTAGAAAAATGAGAGAAAATGATTGCTGTATTTTAGCTTAAATGACAATTTTGTTTGTTTTTTTTTTTTTTTTTGCTATCACCCTATTTTAACACTTATGTATTACACGGTAGTGATGGAATTCTATTTTAATTTAACTAAAAAATATTTAATTTTATATTGAATAAAATTAAAGATAATATTTTTAATTAAGAAAACGTCCAAACATTATATCATAAATTAAACATCTAAATCATTGACAACTTTAAATACCAAAAAAAAAAAATTTTTGTAATGAAGATTATTTATTTTTTCTACGATAAACATGTTTAATTAGAATATATAATTGCATGTGATTTTTTATTTTCCTAATTTTGTGTTAATTTTCAAATTTTATGCATCACGAGCAACGAATGTTAATATGGCAGCAAAATTCAACCGTCGGGATATAAAAGCTTCACGTGGTTAAAGTTTCTCAGGCTGTGGTTCCTTGACATAAAACTGATCACATAGTACTTAATTTGATCCATGATAAACGTTAAAACTGAGTCGTATTGTAGACTTTGATTTCTACAATAGGTGAGTAAGAGAGCAGCAGCTTCATTGGATTGAATTTGGAATAACTCTCTAGGAAATACTGGCTACGAAAAACACGTTATCACGTTTTAAACGGCTAATGCCTGATGCCTAATGCCTAATGCCCGGAAACCTGGTAGGAGAAATTAAGTCAAACGCGCAATAAAAGACGATCATCGTGGACATCAGGGATCGTATAATTACCCAAAATATCATTAGTTGCTTTACCCAAGCCATGCTGAAATTGGCTTCCTATATTTGTTATTTGGATTGATGGTTCACGCTGTGTTAGTCACAAACAAATTGAAAGAGAAGATAAGTTTTTGCCATTTTAAGGGAAGAGACGAAGAGGAGTTTGCCCCTGGCTGAAGAAGCTGCCCCGGGAAAGTTGGGGAAGCTGGATCCCCAAGAAAATGTGTTATTGACACTTGTCCATGATAATTGTGATAATTGTGAGTTGCAAGACATTTGGGGATAACTTTGACAATCGGCCATAAAGATGCTCGTGTAAAAGACCAAAATTAAAACATAGTGTAGCACTATCCCTTTGATTTCTCAAAATTAACTACTTTCGAGTTTCAAACCATGTGTGTATGAAAAATAGACTTTTGGTTTCATTGTTCCTTCAGCCTCCTTCAGTCTAATTCTTCTTCCTATAAATAGACTGCCATCGAGGCCAAACCTTTCACCGATTCCCATAAAACACTCCTTTTATCACTATTTGCCACTTCAATTTTTGAAACTTAAAGCAGCACACTGTAGGAGGAGCAAATGGAGTTTACTAGAAAGAATAAACAGCTTTTATCTAGGAAAGCCACTAACGACGGACATGGAGAGAATTCACCGTATTTTGATGGGTGGAAAGCGTACGACAGCGACCCTTACCACCGCTCTCAGAATCCTAATGGGGTCATCCAAATGGGACTAGCTGAGAATCAGGTCGGTTGGTTTATCCTTTATTTGGGTGGCACCCTGAATTTCACTACAATTATCTACTTCTCCCATGCAAACTAGTTACCATTTTCTTCTTCCATCTTTCTTCTTTTCTCAGCTTTGCTTTGATTTGATCAAAAAGTGGATACTCGAAAACCCTGATGCCTCCATCTGCACTGCTGAAGGAGTTGATAAGTTCAAAGATATTGCTATCTACCAAGATTATCACGGCCTGAAAGAGTTTATAGAGGTACGAAAATACTCAAACATGTTAGCTAAAAAGTCTCTATCCAATCAAATCAGCAAAAACATAATCAAACAATTAATTAAGCACATAAAAGATAATAATTTAATGTGGTTAGGTTCAATCGACTTATATTCACGGATAAAAAAAAGATTAACTAATTGTAGAGAATTATAAATATACACAAATCATATCAACTTCACTTAACAGTCAATACTCATCAGACTCTCTTAATCTTCTCTGATCTTATAAAGTATTCTTAACACAAACAAACACATATCTATATACACTCATATGCACCATACCTATGTGAACCCTCTTAGTCTCTTCTAGTCTACTTTAACATACATATTCATAAGAAATAAATCTCCAGTAGTCTTATAGAATATCTATCTTATAAAATCTTACAACTCTTACATATTTTTTTATAATTAACTCTATTGAGACTTCACTTATTTATAAGCATATTAACTTGCTTATAAAGAATCTATTTCCTCTTAGAATTCTTCTTCTGCAAGTCAAATTTACTTATTAAGAATCACTTTTTTTTAGAATACTTTTTATGTAAGTTTTCTTGTCCATCAAACAATATTTAGTCAATTCCAAACAAATCTCTTATAGGATTTGAGTTATTATTCCCAACAATCTCTACTTTGACTCAAATTTCATCAAACATCTGTCTTTATGCTAGATATATTTGACTCTACTTGCAATAAAAATTTCACAAACATCTTCTCTTATGTATCTTCACGTTTCACGTAAATTGATCTTTAATTCTCAAAACATGAATTCGAACTCTTTTCTTATATCGAGTTCCTCTGGGCTTGCCTCTTCCTATAGTTCAAACCATCAATTCTAATACCATTTGTTAGGGATCATTACAGTTCTGATGCCACTTGTTAGGTAAAAAGTTTTTATTAAATCAAGCCAGCGAAAACATAATCAAATAATTAATCAAGCACATAAGAAATAGCAATTTAACGTGGTTCAATCCAATTGACATATACCCACTGATGAGAAAAAAGAGCTACTAGTTATAAAAAATTATAAGCATACACAAATCATACCAATCTCACTCAATAGTCAATACTAATAAGACCTTCTCAATCTCTTTTAGTCATATAAAGTATTTTTAACATAAACAAATACAAATTCATATATACTCATGCATCCATACCTACATGAAACCTTTTAGTCTCTTCTAGTCTACTCACATGTACCATATTTATGTAGATTCTTTTAGTCTTTTTTAGTCCACTCTAACATTCACACTAATAAAATGTAAATCTCTAGTAATCCTATAAGGTGTTTATCCCAAAAAATCTTATAACTCTTTTATATCTTTTTTTTATAAGTAATTCATTTTAACTATTTATAATCATATTAACTTATCTATTAAGAATACATTTCTCTTTAAAATTCTTGTTATGTAAGTCAAATTTATCAAGTAAGAATCATTTTTTTAAAATTATTATTATTCTTATTTATCAAGTAATATCTAATTAATTTCAAACAAATCTGTTATAAAATTTAAGTTCTATTCTTAACAAAATATTAGTTCTAACCCAGTGGAGAACAAATAATGGCGGCATTTTCTAATTAATTATTACTTTCTTCTTCAGGCTCTGGCAAAGTTTATGGGAAGGGTAGGAGGAAACACGGTCACATTTGATCCAAACCGTATAGTTATGAGCGGCGGAGCCACAGGAGCAAACGAGACGGTCATGTTTTGCTTGGCCGACCCCGGCGACGCTTTTCTTGTACCTTCACCTTATTATCCAGCGTACATACTCTTTCTTTCTCTTTTTTTTTTTTTGTCAATTCTTATTTTCATTTGGGTTTTTTTATATTAATTTGAGTTTTGACTTGCAAACATGGAAAACTATACTTTTCAATACAAAATAGAATAAGACTCTTACTAGGACTTTTGCTTCTATTAATACATTTTGTGGGTTAGGGATGATGAAATTTTTAAGTTTTCAAAACTACAAAAGAAAAGTATTCTTTGGAAATATAGAAAGAGAGGCACGGCTACATGGTTTTGGAAGATATTAACCAAAAATGGTTATTTTCTTGCTTATTAAAATTTCAAGTGCTCTATTAATTCTCACTATAGAATGCTAGTGAGATAGGGGGCAATTTCCTATACCTAGAAGAGTAGAATTAGGCTTTTAAAGTAAACATTAAAAACAATTCAAACTTGGTTGGATATCTTGATTCAATAGGTTAGGTCACGCTCAGAGGTTGCGTGATTTAAAAAAATTAAGAAACCAATTTGCAGTATATAGTAAATATATAAATAAACATTTTATAGCTAAATTTATGATGAATATTACATATATGGTCTATGAAGAAAATTGGACTTTCGTCATTGAACTTTGACCTGCAGAAAATTCTAATAATGCAGTAGATCTTTACGTTGACTTAAGTTTAGGATATAGCTAGCCAATTGTTTGGACAATTCTCCTCTTACTTGGTTTCCTTATAAAAAGCTCATGTACAACTTGTTCTTTTATATATAGTTAATCTTCTTTTTTCTAATACTCTTCCTATATCAGTTTTAGTCAATTGTTTTTTATTTAAAAACTATGCAGATTTGCCCGGGACCTAAGATGGCGCACTGGGTTAGAAATAGTTCCAGTTGACTGCAAAAGCTCAAACAATTTTCGTATAACAAGAGCAGCCCTGGAAGAAGCCTATGAAAAAGCTCAAAGATCAAACATCAATGTCAAAGGCGTGATCATAGCAAACCCCTCAAACCCTTTAGGCACAATCTTGGACAGAGAGACAATGAGAAGCATAGTCAGTTTTATTAACGAACAGAACATCCACCTTGTCTTCGATGAAATCTATGCAGCTACAGTCTTCAGCTCTCCTAGATTCATTAGCATTGCTGAGATTATACAAGATATGGATTGTAACCGTGATCTGATTCACATTGTTTACAGCTTGTCCAAGGACATGGGATTTCCTGGTTTTCGAGTTGGCATTGTTTACTCATTCAATGATGTAGTTGTGAATTGTGCCCGCAAGATGTCAAGTTTCGGATTAGTCTCCTCGCAAACTCAATACTTACTTGCTTCAATGCTTTCTGACGAGGATTTTGTTGGGAATTTCCTAAGGGAAAGCTCAAAGAGGTTAGCCAAACGGCACCATGTGTTCACCAAGGGACTCGAACAAGTGGGGATTTCTTGTCTAAAAAGCAATGCTGGTTTGTTTTTCTGGATGGACATGCGACCCCTCCTTAAAGAACAAACTGTCAAGGGAGAAATGGAATTGTGGCGTGTGATTATCGATGAAGTGAAACTCAATGTTTCTCCAGGTTCATCTTTCCAATGCTTGGAACCTGGCTGGTTCAGGGTCTGCTTTGCAAACATGGATGGTGAGACCGTGGAAGTAGCACTTGACAGAATTCGAAAATTTGTGCTTCAAGGAAAGGAAGAAGATCATGCGGTGCCAGAGACGTCAAAACGTTGGCAAAAGAAAAATCTTCGCCTCAGCTTCTCTTCCTCTAGGTTATACGACGAGAGTATCATGTCTCCACCCATGATTTCCCCTCACTCCCCGATACCTCACTCGCCCCTCGTTCCGGCGATGACTTGAGTAATAATTACAACGTAGCATTGCATGTCTAATCTTCGTAGTTCATCGTATTCATCTTTAATTAGTAATTTAAGTCATAAAAGTTCAATAGGAAATTCATTGTCATAGATATCATTTTTAAGAGATTATTATGGCTCAGATTAATTTGGTACTTAAATCTTTTTGGTCTGACGCCGATTTATTAAACCTCTTGATTTAGAGCTTAGGTGGAGAATAATAATCTTTTTCTCTAATTAATTTTTTCCAAATTATAAAGTCTATGCTGTATGTAAGCATTATTTTTGTGGAGATATGCATTGTACTAGTAGTAATTGTTCTATTCTAGGAGTCTTAGTTTGTACCAAGATGTTTGATTATAGTAATAATAATAATAAATGTGATTTAGGATTCTAATTATTTTTATGAATTGAATTTGTGGTGTGCATCTAAAGCTTGAGGTCGCTGTGGAGAACACTAAGATTCTCAATTATCTTCATTCTTATGGGTTTTGATTTAACATTTTAATCACTAACTAAAGGTTAGCTAAGTGGATGCTAAATAATCAATATGACATCATTGGATTGGCAATAACAGTATCCGTGCCTTCAATTTGCTTTGGTGGAGCAAACATATAAATAAAACAGCTCAGACAAACAACCATGGCATGGAACATGATGTGATCATGGCATGTGCATTATGGATAAAACTATATGCAAATTTTCTTGGACATTTGTATATATACCCCATTTGAAACAGTGACTCAATGAAATTGAGAAGTTTTCAGGTCATGATCCGATTGCTAAATATTCCATGGCAATCCTGAAAGAAGTATACTGGTAACCCATGAATGCATTCATTCCCAAAAATATGTGTTTACGTAAAAGTTTGGACAATGGATGTTTTGACGTCTAACTTTAGGTTTGCTGATGTAAAAAAATTAGGTGTATATATATATATATATATATATATATTATATATGATACTAGCATAGTGCGTGCTGTATGCATGTTTATGACTATCTTCCAAATTAAATATCTTTGTTTATACTTCTGCATTGTTAATAATTAATTAAAATCAACCTCAGCTGTGCATGCTCTGTTCATTTTTAAGTCATTTTTGTATCTTACTCTATTGGTGCATTTGAGAAAATACGATTGAAGAGAAAGAGGAGTTAATAATAATTAAAAAGTTAATATAACAAAAAGAAAAAGTACTCTTATCAATGTTTTGGAAAAAAAAAATGTAGGGATGGATATTTTATTGTTATAGATGAAATTTATAAGCATCAGGACACATATATATAGACATGTGATGGGAAACATTAAGACTCTGTTACGATCAGTTCAAAAACGGGTCATTATTGTCAACCAAACTGTGATAGTGGCAGATGGCAATTGGATCTACATTCCATCAGTTTGCTTGAATGTGAATCCTTATAGAAACGTAAAATTGAAGTCATTTCTCCAACCAAAATAGGCATTCTGCCCCCACCAAGAGCAATATGTTTGTAACCAAACCTGCAGTTGGTTGCCCCTTCAAGTTATCTCTTGTATATATGACACCAGTTTTTCTACTTTCCATATATATATATATATATATATATATATGTATATATATATCTCATTACCAGAGTCCAGAACCGAACACTCAAATCTTTAAACTCTGTTATTTTGGTGAAGAAGACAGGATAAATTTTGGCTTTGTTAGCTCAATCGAACATTGACTTGCGTAAGCTTCTATTTGCCCTCCATGGCTTCTACTTCCCTCTACTGCTTTCGTCATGTTTATATTGATTACTAGCTTAGCAGAGCTAACACGAAACTAATTATGGAAGTGAAGGTGAAGAAAATTTGATAAGGTTGAGACGACAACCAATCAGGTCAAGAGAACATTAGGCACGCATGCTTGTTAACCAATTATTAGCTGTTTAAATGGGGTTCGACCCTTTGACAAAACAAAACTATGCTCTGTTCCCTGGTTTATTCACTCTTCACGTCTCTACTCTCTGCTTCTCCAATCAACTTGACAAAATTATTACTATTTATTAGTTTATGTCACATCTGTTAAATGTCATGATTCATATACCATTCGTAAATAAATATGACAGATAAATTTATTCTCATATATTATGTCTTACAAGTATGTGGGGGGTTAAAGACAAGCATAAAACATTAATCATGTTTTAATAGTATATAAAAGCCTTGATCTTTAGATGGAACTGAACTTGGTCGTGCTCAATGTTATGGCTTTACTTTGCCATTAAAGATTGATTTTTCAATAATGTATGCCGATGAATCATCAACCTTTTTTCGGTAGTAGAAAATGCTTTATTAATAATTTAACATATAAATCCCTCACCCTGGAAAATCTTTGGGCATTTTATAACTTTTTAAACAAATGGAAGAGACAAAAGATGGTTCACAATTATTTTGGCTAAACTTAGGCCTCTTTTCCATACTGCAGTGAAGGGGCCAGCCCTTGCATTCCGATTCTATCGCTTGGTAAATACGTCCTCTGGGGAATGATATTATTGGTTAAGTGCATTGAATATACGATACGTACATTATTGGTTATAGGTACGATAAAGTTCTTGAGAGGCTTAATTTAGACACAATTTCTGTTGTTGGCCAATAGACAATGTGACAAAGATGGATTAAGCTGAAGAGATAGACATTGATAAGTTTGCGTAAAGCATTTTTTCATGATGAAGAAACTTGAAAACAAAGCATTATTTTCTCAGTATCTCTGGGGTTCTTTATGGTAAATTTTCTTTGGTTCCAAAGTCTTTCAGCTTTCCACTGTTTTACATTTGCTGAAAAGTAAAATTTGTGTAAAATGTTAAAAGAATATTGAATTTTTAATTTTAATGATTAGAATTAAATCTTAAAATACATAAAAAAAAATTAATTTAATCAGTTGTTTAAGATCATGTGCACATGCCTAAGAGGAGCCACCTAATATTTATCAGAAAGAAAGAATAAAATTATGGAAAAAGTAGACACATGTTGGATCACATGCATTTTTCAATTTTAATACATGAATGGTATAGGTCCATGGCGTGGCCTTCATGTGTAATATTGGATTAAAACAGTTACCTGTGTTTTATTCTTGTTCTGCTAAATTAATTTATTATTCAAAGAGTTGATGAATTTAATTTGAAGCGAATTAAGGTGGGTTACTAGATGACAAATACAGTGAAGTACAGGAGATTCCAAAGTTTGTAGATTCAACAAGGAAATAATTTTTTTTATGAAAAGAATAATGACAAGTATGCTTCTCCATACAGAAAATTACATGAGGTAAATCAGTTAACCTTCTGCTTTCCAGCTAACAATGGCTAAATTCTGTAAGGAGATAGAAACCTGCAAAAAATAATGATTACTTGAATGAACCGACCAATGGATTGGGACCAATCTGTTTTCACGTACGAGGTTTGATTGATAGATTGGTACAAAGGCTACAGACCTACAAATTCATGAATGAACATGACATGTACAACATATTGTAACATAACATGTAGACAGGAAGGAAATCTTCAAATGAGAATTGCTCTCAGACTCACCATGGACATGGAGTTGTCAAACATTTGAGCTAACTTTTTGGCTTTTCAGCTACCATCCACCCCTCCTCCCCCAATAACCGTAGCAAGCAAAAGTAACCTAAAATAATAAAGATCAATTGACTGATTGAGTGGCACTTTCAAAGAGTTTCAAATTCAAAGGTAGAATTTTGATTTTGATTTTGCTTTAGCTTTTTGTTTGGCCGGTGGCTGTGGGGGAGGCTTGGGATGGGGGATGAAGGAAGATTCAAAAAGAAGCACAGTTGGCAGATGATTAAGACTAGTATAAATTTAGTACATTTATGGGCCATGGTTGATGGGTTCAAAACAAATTCCAAATTTTCATTTATTCAGTCTAGTCCCTACACATCACATTACTTATACATGAAAAAAAGGATTAACGAGGCGTCACCATCTATATACAAAGGAGTTCGCTTCTTTGGTTTACCTCCTATTCTCATCGATGACATTCAAATCCATCACCAATTTGAGAAATCCCTCACCATTTTTACCAATGCCTAGTCAACAAATAACACAAGCATTTGGATTCTCTTCCATGCTTTGAACATAGTAATAAGAGGTCATGTGAGGATTATATGCTCTGTAGGCCTTGACAAGCTCCAAAACGGGGTCTGGCGGTGGCTGTGGCTTTTTCTCCTCTTCTTTCTTCTCTTCCTCTTTCTTGGGTTCTTCTTTTTTTGGTTCTTCCTTCTTAGGCTCTTCTTTCTTCTGCTCCTCTTCCTTCTTGGGCTCTTCTTTCTTTTGTTCCTCCTCTTTCTTGGGTTCTTCCTTCTTTGGCTCCTCCTTCTTCTCTGGCTCTTTAGCTGGCCCTACTGACACTATGTCCGTTGGCCAGTACTTGCGTAATTTGCTTACCACGTTTACAGGATCAACTGTTCCGATCACTGTCAATTGCTTTGCCTTCATATCCATGGCAATGGAATCAATTCCTATCAAATTTGCATAGAAAAAAAAAAGTGAATCAAAAGGAAAAACCATTCCTTCTACAAATCTAGCTCCAAAGAAGAATCACATGACGACAATTTTTTTCCATGAGCTCAATCATTTTAATATGCTTTCATCTAGATTCAAGTTAAAAACAAATCATACCTCTTGCAGGAAGAAAATTGTTGTCATCAAGATCCGCAAGTCATTGGCAGAAGAGATATTTTAACAAGAGACAACAAAACAATCCAAAACAAAGTTCAAAATTAAGCAGTCCCATCGTTTTCAGTGTTTAATATGAAAACATTTGGACAGCTATCTAGTAAATAATATATGAATAATTTTTTGTTTTTAAAGGAAATTTTCTTTATTCAGAGTCACGTCACTAATTTATGCTAAAATCTTTGTTTTTATAGAAATTAATTTCTCATCACCAAATTTGAAAAACTAAAGAGAGGCCTCTAGAAAAGGTTAAAAAGTTAAACTTTTCAAATGGTGGAATTCTTGCAAAGATACATACTTTAAAAAGATGAATGTAAAATGTTAAACTCACAGAAAACACAGAAAGGAAAAGAAATTTGCTTAAATTAAAGCTTTTTAAGCTTTGAAGGGTACGAAGAAATGCAAGAGATGTATACCTGCAAGAGATGAGACTGTCTTTAAAGCCTTTTGCTTGGCTTTGTCATCATGCAAATCCAATTTCAGCACAAACTTCTGCAATTAAAAAACAAAAGATCTGTTTCAGAATCATTTAAGCTTTTGATAATTAATATGTAAGGATATATGATAGAGAAAATTTTCATTCAAGTTACAATATGAACATGAACAAAAATCAAATTAGTCATCTTGTTTTGATCCTTTTCACTGACTGAAACATTAAATTAGATGTCAAAATCAAAGATGCTGGAAAGATCTTGTTATGAAATTCTCAAAGTACAAAAACTTTTGAGCTGAAAAGATTGTCTCCTTATAGCTAAAGATTTCTAAACAAAGTCATAAAAATAATGGAACTTCCACTGAAAGAAACTCCCTTGAGTCTTATGATCCATCAAAGTAATCTTTTTTTTATTCTTAGGAATCAGTGTAAAACAAGAATCAGAATCGAATTCAAGAACAACCCATCAAACAGTAAGCCTCAAGATTCCCTTCAAAACCCAAGAAAAATCAAGAAGAAACAAACTAAAAGTGCATAAAGAATCAGAAACCCAATAAAGAAAAACGCATAATTTAGTCGTAAACAGAAAGAGATCCCAAAGTAGGAGCCAGACCTTCATTTGTGTTGAACTTTTTTTTGAGGGAGTTGCCGAGATTAAAAAAAAAAAAGAGAAGAATGCGTGCTAAAAAGAAAAGAAAGAGAGATACGAAGAGAAGAGAATGGGGGTGTTAAAAAAAAAACAAAAAGAAAAGAGAAGACGTAATGAAATAATGCTTGGTTTGAAAAAAAATTGAAAGGTTTGGACAGATTTAATAAGAAAAAAAAATCCAAATCAAAACAAGAATTGCAGAATAGGAGAGAGAGAGAAAAAGTACAGCGAAGAAGAGAACTGAAGGAGACAGAGAGAGAGAGAGAGAGCACTAATATTGAAGTAAGTGAAAACTAGTGGGCGAGAGTAGGGAGTTTATAGAGTGCTTGTGCCAAAGAAAGAGAGAGAGAGGGAGAGAGAGGAAGGAAGAGGAAACCTTAGAATTGAAAAGCAGTAAAAGGACAATCTCTGTCTGACTCATCTCCACGCTTTCGAAAGGGGCGTCGCAACCACACCAATGCCACATTTTTTATTAATTTTTTTTAAGTATTTTTTTAGGTTTTTTTTTTTTATTTTGTTCTTGAAAATTTTTAGTAGCTATTAAATTACCTTAAAAATTATACTTCTATTTTTTTTTTTAACAGTGATGCTTTGGCTGATTTCTATTTTTTTTATTTTTTTTATTTTAACAATGATGGCTTTGGTTGATTTTTAATAGATTTAACTCATATAATTGTACTAATAGAGTATTTTTTCCACATATATAATTAAATTGGGGAATGAGTTTTGACTTTTGATTATATGGTTACTATTTATTTTATTTATGTATATAAAAATATTTTTTTTTAAATCATAATTTAAAAATACGAAAAATCATTAGATCATTATTGATGATTAAAAAATTATTGTAACATTTTTCCTATATTTTAAATTTTATGTTTATTTTTTATGGCTAACACAATAAAACTTCATATTTTTAAGTTGGATTTAATTTTACAAAATTCAATGATTAAAATATCTTTTTTATAACGGATTTGGCTTATCAATTCTCACATTATTTTCTTCGAAAAATAATAGAATTTTTTAAAATAATTTAACTTTAAATCATAGAGGGTAATGGTTGAACTAATAGACTAATTATTTGAAGTGTTGGACCCAATAAATAATAAAACAATGATGATTTATTGATATTTTTCATCACATCTACTATGAATTAACTTTCAAGTTATCCGTTTTCTTCAGCAATATTTGTAAATATATAAGCTTTACTATCATTCAAAATTTTGTTCATCCAATTTAATTCAAAATTTCTCAATTAATTTTGAAAAAAAATGCTATATCATGAAATTCACTAACATTGATAAATTTTTTACAAATAAATTTGCAGCTAGACTATAAAAAAATTACATGTATTAAATTGTAAAATTATTAAATAATTATATAAATTAATTGATTTAATTTAAATTTAAACAAAATTTTTGCACTCACAATTTCGTGAGCTTAGTAAATTTTCCGTATATAATACGTTTTTAGACCAGACATTTTATAATTTCATATAGCATAAATTAATTATTGAAGCTGAAAAAATTCATTTTGTTTTTAACTTCACATCTTCACCTCTCTCCTGATTTTCATTTTTCCAACAACCTGATTTGTCTTTTATCTAAACAATAACAATATTGCAATATTCACTACTTTTTAGATTACTTATCTGCTTGTATTCTTTTTGTAATTTTACTTAGGGTTCCTATCACCAACGTTATGTTTCCATTGATGATCGTGGTTTTAGTTTTTAGTTTTAATAAGACAATAATACACATCTTTATGACTTGGATGCCGCAGAGTATGAAGAGGAGGAACCTGCTTTGCCATTAAACTTGCCATGGTAACCCGTTTTCCAGCAATACAAACTTTTCGCTTTCCAATGATTATTAATCATGTAAAATTTTTTTCCTTTATGATGTTTTTCTGAAACTGGCTATGATGATCGTCTTTTTCGTCCGCACTTGTTGTAGTTTTGACAATATTCTAGTTTTTTCTATGGCCATGAAATCAACCACGGTGTAATTTATATTTCCTGATTAAAAAAATCAACCCAAAATCACGAAAACACATATAAAAAAAAATCCTTTATGATTAAAAAGCAAAAAGAAAAAAAAAAAGAAAAGGAGGTCACCGATGATGAATCCAGCAGCACAATAAAAAGAGCTTTTTGGAGAGAGACAAAGAAGGTACTGTTTACGGGAATAATTGTACGAGAAGACAAATGCAGGGTTTCTTAGAATGAAAAAACAAATTTTGAAAGAAGCTAGTCACTTCAATGGGTAAATGAAATGGAGCCCATGTTTTAAAAATAAATTTTAAAAATCCAATGACAGAACAAGAAAAAAAAAAAAAGGAACGATCATAATATTATATTTATGTGATTATAAGATTGTTGATTTTAGAGGAAGAAAAAGCAAAAAGAAAGCTTTTAAGTGATGAATAAAATACAAGGAGATTAAGTAGCAGAGGCTAGAAAAGAAGCACGAAAGGAAAAAATGGGGAGGAAAAGGCTTTTTTAAAGAGAGAGACGGAATGAAAGAGAAAACCAAAAGAGAAATGAAGTTAAAGTGTTGAGTTGGCATACTTCGTACTTATCTGTAAAAATATATCCATATAAGGAAATAAAAATAAAAGTATTACTATTAAAGAAATAAGAATTCTTATTACCTTATTTTTGGAAAAAATACTCAAAATTTCATAGCAGGTGATAACAAAAGTGGATCCCACCAAGGTGTCAGGTGCAATTTTAGTACACAGATTCCTTTATTAACTCGATGAGCTTGAATTTTTGTGCACTGCAGATTATGGCGCGTGAAGCTAACGTCTCACGTACTTGACATGCTGACGTGATTTCAAGAACCGACGGCATGGAAGTCGCCAATTTGGGCCACGAGTCGGAGCGTGGTCCCCACCGGTCCAATTTCTACATCTTCACACCAACGGGTTTTCCCAATCACGGCGGCGAAGCCATTTTCCTCACTATTTTTCTCACCCTCATATAAAAGCCCTTTATTTTAATTGTTACACGTGGCTTCTCCTAAATTTGACACGTTCCAACCATGCCTCTCTCACCCTATTATTGAATTCCATGTAATGAAATTTCGACAGGGGAAAAAATACACGAGTGGCAATTCAAATAAAGCTGCGACTTTAATAAAGTTAAATGATCTCTTAAAATCTTCTGTTTGTTTTAGTTATCGAGTTAATTTTTAAAAAATATTAAATTTTTTATTTTTTAATATAGGATTTTATCTCTTTAAATGATAAAAAAATAATTTTTAAAAATTTTTGTTATTTTTCAATTCAAAATTAATTGCATATAGAATTTTTATTAATATAAATTATTATATTTATATTCCATAACAAAGTTTTAACACTTTACAAACATAATTATAAAGTTAACACGTATTTATTTAATAGGTTTATTTTTTAAAATATATATTTATATAGATTTGTTAACCTTATAACATTGTTTTATACAATTTTAAAAAATTCAAAATAATATACAATATACCTTTTTTATAATTTCTCTTTATATGCTAACTTAATTTGATCTGACTTGATGATAACGGTAAATTTTTTTTTTTTTTTGTTAAGAAAGCAGGCATGTTATAATTCACTCCCACTTTTCTAACTTTATTCTTTATGAAAATTATTATGGTCCATAATTGTCACAGTATTTATTTTCACTTAACAAAAAACAAATATGCCTAAATCTTTTTTACATAATCCCAAACGATCATTACGCCTACTGTTATACCAACGTGCACTTTCAATCCACATTTAACTACCTCCTAAAAAATTTTTAACACAATAATGTTACAAAATTTTCATTTTTTTTCAGAAGAAGATTGCAACTAAAGTCTATTAAATACCTAACTGATATTGCAAAATGTCAATATCAAAGAGTGCGAAGTGCAAACCAACTATATGAAAAATCAAATTTCACAAAAACAAACAGTTTGATATTTAAAATAATAATATTTTAACTATCTTTAATAATTTATAAATATCCATTAATCATAATTTTGTTTAAAATCTAATTTTATTAAATTTTAAAATCAAATTGATTAATTCATATAATTATTTTTATAAATTTATATTTAATGAATATAAAATTTTAATTTTAATTTCGTGTTTTAACTGTAAATCGAAAGAGGTATTGCTACTTGTTTACAACGGTAAAATATGAGGATGGCGTGCACATTTTAATTATGGCATAGATTACGAATTTTCAGCTATCTTCTTGGTTTTTCGATAAAAAAAATTTCAGCCATTTTCATGATAATGATAATATTCTCATTAAAGAAAAAAGAAAGTAAAAGTAATTTGTGGTTTATAATATTGAAGCTTGATTGATCAGACATGGAAGGTACAGATCAATCATGAATAGGCCTGCCTTCAAGCTGTTGATGTGAATAAACAGCAATTTTAAGTTACGAAACAGAAAGGTGGAGGACCGCGAGGGGAGGGTAGTGGATTCGTTCTTTGCAGATAGTACCACATCTTATATTGGTTCGTTACAGACATTGTGGAAAATTTTCAGAAGATAGCAATCAGAAAAAGCCGACTTTTTTTCCTTTTTTTTCTTTACTTAGCTATCAGCAAATGGTCATAGCATCTTTAATTTCCCGTTTTTCACAGAATTTGGAACTCGGAAGCCAGCTATCATTCATTCTACTGCTAAAATAAGCTAATTCTCTTGCCTCTTATCATCACCCAGATATAAAAAACTCAGTCGCATAATTTACAGACGAGTCACGGGTGTGAGCGTGCGGCACTGGCTGCCTCAATATCGATCACGATCATTCCTTTTGAACCCACTCCCTTTGGGGATTCGAACTCAAAACGGTTTCAGGCACGACGATGACGCTGACGATGACGACTCTAGAGCAATCCAAACCACCTCTAACAGTAAGATACATAATTTTTTTGGCTTTTTAATTGTCAATCTTAAATGTCATCATTAATGACAATTTATTGATCTTTTCAACTGCAATTGGCTGCCTAAAATAATAAATATAATAAATAAAGTTGAATTTGGAAATAAAATCGTAGAGGACATAATTTCCACTCATATATTTTATTTATGATTTTTTTTTTATTTTTGTTGTCGATGGTTATTATAAAATAACAAGAAGCTATCACTTCTGTTATATTAGGGAGGTGCCTATTTCAGTTTCTGAGCTTGACATGGCGTCAGTGATGTACGAATCTTTTGCTGTGATGGAACACCAAAAAAGGTAGGCGGTAGCATACCGGCCTATACATTTTGCCTTAAGGTTGAGGGCCACAAGGGTAGCTTCCACTTGTATGGTTTTAAACCCTCTACGCACTTAATTTCCACCTTTTCAATGCAACGTTGATTGCTAAAAAGTTGTTGCATAGAATTAATAATTTTTTGGTTGAATTGGCATTTGACGTATTCCAGATTTTAGTTATAAGAGAGTAGCATTTCTCAAATATACATGTTTTCTACATATAATTATATCTATCTAGGCTTTTTTTTTTTTGGTATATTTGAGTAACCAATTTCTTTGTCTTTTTTTTTTTTATCTTATAAATTATTAATGGATACGACTGTCCAAAAATGTTTTATTTCATGTTTTTGCTCAACCGTTTGAAATATGAAAAACAAACGATCACCATTCATTTTGTAGCGGAAAATAGCTTTTTCATTCTTTTTGAAAACAAAAGGTTGTAAGCAGAAGTTGTATTAATTTTTTATTCGTGGTTGATTTTTAAGTATGGGTATTATTTGATATTTAATGCGATTTGGGTAGAGTTAAGCTTTTTAAAAAAAAATTAGTTTGATTTTTTTTTACGTTCTTTTAAAAATCGTAAAACCCTCATTTGATCAAAATATGCTAGAAAAAGAAATTGAATTGAAGTTGCGAAAAGGTTAGAGTTTACATCATTTTAGGAAATGTAAGTTTTTATTTAATATATTGTTTTAATCAAATTTAAAAATTTATTGGTAACATATCATTTTCATAACTTTTGTAATATTTATTTTATAACCTTTGTAGTATTTTTTTTTATAAGAGTATTTCACTTGTAAATATTTAATTATAATAAAAAAATTATATATAAATGTTCATTATTTATAAATGTGGACTCTATATTTTTATAATCTATGTAATGTTTCGGTTTTTTTACAACCTTCATGGTAACATTGGACTTTATTGCCAGTAATTTCTATGGATATTTAATAACATAATGTTATGAAAAAATATTAAATATAGTGCTACTGAATGTAAATTTTTTATAGCTTTTTTTGTCGATATTGGTGACTACAATAATCTTAAAATATATTATTATTTTAAGTCATCTTTATGTAATTTTTTTTTAACATTGAATGTATTAATAAGTAACTTGTAGGGATATTCAGTGACATAATATTACTTTGGTATTAAACATAAAAAATATTGAAATTAGTTGTTAAATCCATAATTAAAAACATGAAGCCCAAAAGTTGACTTTGTGGCAGGTATGGGCTGGATTATTGGGCTTACAGATTCAGATAAAGAGACTCAACCGTAAATAAATTTATGTGATCTATCCTTCAGCCAAGATCCTCCTCCTTCAGCCCATTCTGTTGCCCACAAATAGTCAAAACCATCGTTTTTTCTGACGTCATCATGTCCATCTTACAGTCCAGGGTTTTGTTTTGACTCGGTCTTTCTTTTTTCCATTGCCGTTCACCATATTAACTAAATATTCACAACAAACCTCACAGTCGCTTCTCTTTTGATTGTATATCCCCAATATTCAAAAACCCTAAAATTCCTTCCCCCAACGAAATCTCACTTCTCTTTCGTCCCCAATTCGCTATTCATGGTTATCCCCAAATTGTACCAGTTTTGATTTCCCAGTTCCGTTCCCACCCTCTAATTTTCATAAGCCATGGACCATCAATTGCACGATCCGTCGCCAATTCTAATCCCGAAATCCTCGAATTCCTATAATCTCATAAACAATTCCTCAGTATGGCTCGAAATCCGTCTCTTTTACGTACGGATCGCACCTTGCGTTGTCGACAGCGTCCCTGACCACCTCACCCTCTGCCACCTACGCCGTGAAATCGGTGTCTCCCTCGAAATCAATGGATCTCGTGTCCCAGCCTCTGATTCCGCTTCCCTTACCCTCCGCCGTGACCGCCTCAACCGAGAATCATCCGAGGTCACTTATTTAAGCACCGACAGCGTTCGCGTCACGGGAGGGTTTGAATTCGAGGTGTACGAGGATGAAAAGATGGTGTTGTGTGGCTCGTTGCAAAGGATGGAAGGAGAGTGGAGCATGGATTGTTATATGGCCGCCGCGACTATGGAGCCTGGGAATTCTGCGTTTTTTCAGCCGAAGATGGGGGTTTTGGCGCCGGGTATTGAAGTTTATATTGCGGGGTGCTGTGCGGGTGTGCCTGTGATATTGACCAAGACTATACTTGTGAGTCCTAAGAGGAAAGGAGGATCGAGGCTTAGTTGGACGTTGGATGCAATTCCTGAGGATGAGGAGATTAGCGAAGGGAAAAATAAGGATGGCAATGGATTGATTAGAAACCGGAAATTGAAGGTAAAATTGGAATTGGTTTTAATTTCTTAATATTTTATCTGATCAAAAATTCATAATGTAGATGTAGATTCAAGCATGGTAGGAGGAGATTGGATTGTGTGAAAAATGTTGATTGTTTAAAAATCTTATGACAGAGTTTAAGAGGTTGCTTATGGCCTTAGCATACAAAAACAATTATTGCTTTTATAATTTTGCTGAGTTGAAATGCAATGTTTGTGGGCTTTGTGTTGTCTATATATGATTGGAAGTTTATTTTGGTATCGGAGAGTAGTCACCATGGATGTGCATGCAGATGTTTTTAGGGATATAACCTGTTTCCTCTTAAAGGATCGCTGTTTTCTGTGTTGGTATAATGATTATTGGATCCTTCATTTGTAACTCCAAGCCCATGGAGCAACCTATTCTCTGCTTTTTTAGCAATCAGTGATTTAGGATATTGCCAGCTGTTCTGAATAATCTTTTTTCTATATTTTTCCATCCAAATTTGTTTCCTAGATTCACTTATAGGGGGAAAATTTAATCTTGTTAAATTCTGGAGGCATAACAATAAAAACTGCATATTATGACGACATACCCAAGTCATAAAAAAAATGTAGGATGACTGCTGCATTGCTTATGTGCATTATAAATTTATTCTTTACTGTAAGTCTGTAACTATGAGCTTCAAAATAACAGTAGGAAAATGAATGTGTTTGTTTAGTGTGTTCTAGCAGATTCTTAGAAGCTTCCATGGGTCTGTTTTGCAATTTAATTTCTCTAGTATTGGATGTCTTATAATCACATGCTGTACTTTTTTACTAAAATATAATAATTATTGTGGTGGTGTGCAGGTTACAGAAGCTGAAGTTGAAGATTACGACTCTGATGGGAAAATTGGACATAGTTACTACTCTGAAGACATGTATGCTGGTGAGGATGGCCAACTTTCATGGTTTAATGCTGGTGTTAGAGTTGGTGTTGGAATTGGCCTCGGCATGTGCCTTGGGATTGGAATTGGAGTTGGACTGCTAATGCGATCGTATCAAGCAACTACCCGTAATTTTAGGAGGAAGTTTCTCTAAGATGGATCTCTTCAACTGGCAGTGTGATGTTTTTTAATTATAAATGAAAAGGATATCTTTCAGGATTTTGGTAGCAGTCTGGAAGATATCGAGGTTGCAGGCCAGAAACTGAAGAAAACCTCAAGTAACAACTCAACTTATAAATGTGAGGTACTGGTGGGTTCTGGTTGGTGGGTGGAAGTTGTCACTTGTTGGTTTAGCATGTTTAAGATATGAATTACTCTGAGATAATCAGCTATAGTTTGCATGTCTTCTATATTCTCCATTTGCTTTCTTACTACATGGTGAATTATGAATATCCTGGTTCAGGAAAAAAGAAGGAAAGGTCATAGTTGCTTAGTGTTTGGACAAGAATGTGATGCCACTTTTAATCATACGATGAGCCTGTTGGTGATATAGACTTGTTCAGCAGTTGTTTGGTGTGAGTCTTCAATCTTCATCCTCAAAAATGTATGTAGCTTTCTATATCTTGTAGAAATTTTGCATTGTATAGTCTGTGGAAAGATCATATGCTTCTTGGTTTTGTTGGTAATGTAAAAGTTTTATGTTCTTGTATTAACTTGGAGTGATTCTTCAATTTAATTCATTAACTGCGAGCTGTGAGCTGTCTGCTGCTTTATCAAAACTATTCTTAAGTCTCCACTTTTTAAGTTGTAACTTATGATAGTAGTGGTGCCCTGGTTAAAAACATTGATAATGATACAGAGTTTTGAGTTAGGTAATTGTAGGTTGGCTGCTCTTATCACTTTTGGTGAGTTAGGTAATTGTAGGTTGAAGACTCATTGCATCAAGATGTCTTGGGAGACTGCAAATCAGTGAGTTGTATTTGCTACTAATTTGTACTTGCGCACTTTGGGTGCTAATAAATGCACAAAAGAAAATTAGGAAGTCGTTTACAGTCTCCGCAAGCAAACAATGAATTCAGCAGCATCTATCACCATGATGATTACTTCCCCTGGATCACGTTAGGGGAAAACCCTTGTATTTATATTAGACTTGCTGTTTAATAGGAATCGCCGTATGTCTCCGAACATTGATTCCTATCCTGGTAAATAAACAGAGGAAAGCATAAACTATAGACTTTGGAGTTTTGGATCATATCATATGACGTCACAATATACACCTTAAAAAATCTCATGCCGTGCATGCATATAAAAAAAAATTGTAAGGGGGCAGTGTCATGCCAAACGCATCAAGAGTGGCCAAGATGTTTGAATTTTACATAGGATAAAAGAAAAAAAGTTTTAGATTTATAAGTGCTAGCATTATACATCTTAATAAATTGATTTTACAGGAAGAAGGAAATGATCATGTAATAAATGGTATCATAGTCAATCTATTACTCATCAGATTTTTATTTTTAAGTGCTCTAGTGGGAGGCATGCAAGATGGGTTAGTCTCGGCAAGTCTGATCACGTCAAAGCATTTCAAGAGTAGGCAGGTGATAATTGTGTTGAGAACAATTGTGTCGAGAGCATCACAAGAGCGAGTGGAAGAGGACGTCTAGCCAGGCTCCTCAAGAGAGTGAAGAAAGAATATCATGTCAAGTGTTTAATTTTCAAGAAATAAACAAGAAACTCCAATTTTACATTGGATAAAAAAATTATTATTAAACATATACATATTGGTGTCGCATATATGAATAAGTTAATTTTGCACTTCACAAAATAAGTAGATATTTCAATTTTGCATCAGATAAAGAAAGAAAATGTTATTACACATATAAATGTTGATGCTGCAAATCCAACAAACCGATTTTATGGGAGAAAATAATGACTACTTGAAAGCGGGGCTTCCCCTAAATTGCCAAAAATTGGGACATAAACTGGAATTTAGAAATTTATAATGGCATCTCATTTCATCATCAGTAGAGAGCAATAAATTGACAAATTTCATTACTTTGGAACTGTTCCCGAAGCTGAGGAGCTACAACAAAACTAACAAAGCCAAAATACGCTACAACAAACTAACAAAAGCCAAAATAACAACAGCGTTATGACCAGAATCAGGAATCTATACCATAGATATGCCTATTCAGTTTTCCTTACGAAACTTTAGCCCCTGAAAATACCCAAAATTACACCCGTAAACCCTAACCAGTAACCATTACCTAAGAGCTTTTTCCCTCACTCCTCGAGCCAATAGCGCAGATTCGGAGGATGAACGTCACCTCCACTACCAAGATATCGTCTAGACTCAGATCCTCTGCCGCAATGCCTCACCGTAACAATCCTACGCCTCTCCCTTTGGTTGTTTCCCTCAACTGCATCGAAGATTGCTTCCTCGAACAAGAGTCCTTAGCCGGCGTCGCACTCGTCGAGCACGTCCCTCTTGGCAGCTTAGGCGACGGGAAGATCGAGGCTGCCATGGCTGTCCTCCTCCACTCCCTCGCCTACCTCCCTCGAGCTGCTCAGCGTCGGCTCCGTCCTTATCAGCTCATCCTCTGCCTCGGCTCCTCTGACCCCACCGTCGACTCTGCCTTAGCAGCTGACCTCGGACTACGTCTTGTCCATGTCGATGCCTCGAGAGCTGAGGAGATCGCGGACACTGTCATGGCGCTTTTTCTTGGCTTGCTTCGTCGCACGCACTTGCTCTCTCGCCACGCGCTTTCAGCTTCCGGCTGGCTCGGTTCGGTTCAGCCGCTTTGTCGGGGAATGAGGCGATGTCGAGGACTAGTGTTGGGAATTGTTGGTAGATCTGCGTCAGCCCGGGCTCTGGCATCCAGAAGCTTAGCCTTCAAAATGAGTGTGCTTTATTTTGATATTGTGGAGGTAAAGGATTACAGAAAATTTTCCAATTGGACTTTTAGCAGCTAAAATCTGCTAAATTGTTAAAATGTTGTTGTTAAAGTGCTCATTTGCTATTGATCCAATAAAATTTGATAATTAGGTGAAAAATCAAGTAGCATTTTAGCAAATTTGTGTTAAAGCTTAACATTGTAGTGCTTGGTTGTTCATGGAATTTAGGAAGAATTAATGCCTTATTCTTTTATCTACTCTGGGAGGCAACTTTGTGATAAGTGTTAGAATTTCTCGTCGGGGGTACAACTCAAAATGCAGACTATCTGAAACAGTTTAAGCAAATTTAGTGAAATATCAACTGTGGAAGAGTTAAGCACAATATTGCTGAATGGCTATGTGCATTTTGAACTGGATCTAAAGATCTTAAAGTCATAGTCTCTTCTAACATGTTTTTCAGTTAGATCTTATGCTGTAAACTGAAAAACAATAACGGATCTATTGCATATTGTATTGAAACTGAAAATGAGCTTCACTAAGGTTTTAGCAGTGTACAGGCATGTCTCATGTTGTGTACATGATCTGTTAATTCAAAGGCACACCTTTTGGATTTTATTAGTTAATAACATATTTTTTTCTTTGATTCGGTCAGATGGATTTTCTATTGGAATAAATTTCGCACTGAATCATGTTTTCACAGGAAAATGGAAAAGTAAGTAGGTCTTCTATAACATTCCCACCAGCTGCCCGTAGAATGGATACGCTTAATGATTTACTAGCTGCAAGTGACCTTATATCACTTCATTGCGCTTTAACGAATGAAACTGTTCAGATTATCAATGCTGAATGTTTGCAGCTTGTAAAGCCAGGTACATTTGCTTTCATATTTCTGAGATTCCTATTTCATTTTTTTTTTTTTTAAATTATGATTCCGTCTCTTTTCTTTTGTATGAATTTGTTTCTTTTTGGGGGTAATTCTGTTCAGGGGCTTTTCTTGTGAATACGGGTAGCAGCCAGCTCTTGGATGATTGTGCATTGAAGCAGCTTCTCATTGATGGCACCTTAGCTGGTTGTGCCCTGGATGGAGCTGAAGGGCCACAGTGGATGGAAGCATGGGTATGATAAAATTTCTTAGGCTCTGAATTGAGGTGTTGCTGTGCTATGCTGTTTACTTAGGAAGGTAGCGATTATCCTTAAAAATGTGTATGCGTATTCGGAATTGGTTCAAATTCTGCTTTGAAACAGCAAAAAGGTCTCTCGGTTTACAGTCAGGTTGAAAGGTCAGGAAGTGCTAATTAAATGAGGTCAGCTTTGTAATAGGTTCTATTGCTCTACCAATAGCATCTTGTTTCCATTCCATGACATACCATATTCCTGCCATTTGCCATAATATGTATTTGGTTCTAGTGACAATTGGTTGTGAAGGGGGTTAGAGGGAGAATGGAAGGGTGGGGAGAGACAAAGAACGCTCAGCTTGAATCTTTTATAATTCCACTTCTCTTTCTCTCCATCTTCATCTTCATCTAAGATAAAAGAGTGTTTTTCATCTTTTGATAGAAAGAGTCAATTTTGACCGTGTTGAGGCAGTAGTTAATTGGGTGGGGGGATGAATATTGCCATTTTATATTGCATGACTAAGATTATTGAAGATGTTGCTAATTAAATTATGACAACATCTTTGCTTCAGGTGAAGGAGATGCCAAATGTGTTGATACTTCCACGAAGTGCAGATTATAGCGAAGAAGTGTGGATGGAGATAAGGGAGAAGGCAATCTCTATGTTGCAAACATTCTTCTTTGATGGGGTTATACCAAAGGATGCCATTTCTGATGAGGATGAGAAAGAAAGTGAAATAGTTGATGAAAAAGGACAGTTTAGCATACAAGAGAAAGAAAGTTCTTTGCAGGGATCAAGTGGTGAACAATTGACCGATGATATTCAACTAAGTCCTGAAAGCTCCCATAAAAAGGATACCAATCAATCTAAGGATTCTCCTAATCAGAATCAAAGTTCCAGTTTTTCTCATAACATTGCCGCTAAACCAGATGCGAGACGCAGCAGATTAGGTAAAAAGGCCAAAAAGAGGCATTCCCGTCAAAAACCCCTACAAAAATCAGATGAACCCTTGATATTAGAGAAAGAAAGTACTTCACAAAGAGAAGATGACACTGCTATGAGTGGCACAGATCAAACATTAAGTTCTGGTTCTCGGTCACCTGAAGACACAAGAAATAGGAAAACACCTATAGAATTAACGCAAGGGTCAACTTCTGACCAGCTTTTTAAAACTAGCAAGAAACTAAGTGGACAGTCTGGTGATACGCTGAAGGAGGGATGTGTTATAGCTTTGTATGCAAGAGATCATCCTGCACTCCATGTGTCCAGACAAAGAGTTAAAGGTGGTGGTTGGTTCCTAGACACCATGTCAAATGTAACCAAAAGAGATCCTGGAGCACAGTTCCTTGTTGTCTACAGAAGCAAGGTTTGTTAGCAGGAATTTTTTACTTTTGCGGTTGGAATTTATTCTGCCTTTGCTTAAAATTGTTGTGGTGGGCATAGTTTTTAATTAATTAACTATAGTTCCAGGCCTTTGGGTAACTGTATTTGAAATGTTTTATGCATATTTTTTCAGGACACAATTGGTCTGCGTTCCTTTGCTGCTGGTGGGAAGTTGCTGCAGGTAACTTTACATTTTTACAAATTATTAGGGAGTTTCTTTCTAAGCATGGCTTCACTAAAATCTTGTGTTATCTTTTGATCGATTCTTAGCTCAAGAAACCTCACTATGACTTGGTTCCATAAATTTGTTGTAAAATAGTAGGTTATGCTTTAGACTTTTAATGGACCAGTACAATTACCTTTTTCTTTTTTTTGGTTTGGGGTGAAATTCTATAATTTCTATTGCTATAGTTGGTTAATGTTTTCTTTGAATTAGAGCAAAATAATCTCTATCTGGGTAGTTCCTCTAACTTTGTTACTTCTTATGAGGGAGTAGATATGCTTTAGCTTGTCATGAGAATAATGCAATTCCTATAACAACAGCGGCCCAGATATGATGGTTGCTTTATTTTTGGTCCCAAAAGAGCATTCTTATTTTGCTGCTGCAGTTCTCTTTAAATGCATTGAAGTTGCTAGATCAAAAGCTATAGCTTACTTTAAGTAAATAGACATTAAAAAAAAAAAAGGATTCTGTCACAATGTATCTAAAAAATACTTGTATGTTTGAGATGCTAAATTCGAATGCTACTAGAGACAGATGGGGCATTGAGATATCTTTTGTCTTTTGTTCTAACTCATTGTAACTTTCTGCTTTGTGATGAGGTCAGGTATTAATGTTCTGTCTTGTCATGGCAGATTAATAGAAGAATGGAATTTGTATTTGCTAGTCACAGCTTCGATGTTTGGGAGAGTTGGACATTACAAGGTCCTTTGGAGGAATGTAGGCTGGTCAATTGTAGAAATCCTTCAGTAAGTTCCCATCATTTCTGTAATCCTCATCACTTTGTGCTATCAGCTACATATCGGGTGGCAATTATGAACCCAACTGGGTATTTAGGCATTAACTTTTTGGATCATTTGTGAAGGATTCTCACAGTGGTTAAAGAATATTGTACACTGATTATATTGCATATGACCTTCTTAATCCTAAGGATAGGCGTGTCTCTCTATAGATTGTTTTCTTCTCCTTTTTTTTTTTTTGGCCCTTTACTCTGTTATCTTCTCTTTTTTTGATTTGCTTCCATCACTCAAAATGTCAGGCAATTTTGGATGTACGCATAGAGATTCTGGCAGCTGTAGGGGAGGATGATGGGGTTACTCGCTGGCTCGATTAGGTTTTGAACTGATTCAGGGGGCTAAATTTTTATTGCCTGCTTCACTTTTTTTCTTTTTGTTTTACTCTTCTGGGTTTGTATTGCCAATTGCCAGAACAGCCTGTAAAGCATTCTTTACTCTTCTGTTTTTTTTCTTTTTTTTTGGGTTTTTGGAGGTATCAACATTGCATCCCTTTTTCATTCTTTTTTGAGCGTAATGATGTAATGATTGTATACTTTACGCGAGAGGTTTCCTTGTTTTTACTCCAGACGAACCGCTTTTGCTTTTATCAATCCCTGAAAGAGTTGCAGCCGAGAGTTTTTGCATTTTCCTTTTATCTAAGATTTGAATTCGTGAAAAAAAAACAAAAAAAGTAGTTGGGTAATTGCAAGGTTGTTAGGTCGAAATTCCAAGGCCTAAAGCCGAAGTCAATGGCTAAATTGATGCTTATGAAACGTATGGCCAATGGTCCTCAATCTGAAGAGGTGAGAAGACAATTGGGCGGCTGGTTGTCAAATTGTCAATGGCCCATGATTCAATGCGAACCGCACCCCACCGACCTACCGTAAAAGTACGCACCAAAACTCATCATTTCTATTTTACTACGTTTTGGAGCAATTACCCATGCTTTACATCAACGAAACCATTACTTGCAAACAATAAACACGTTTTTTAAAATAATAAGAAAAGAAAATATCGAAAGCTGAAAGTTTAAAACTTTTAACCTTGTTGGTCGTAGTTTGTAAATGAATTGATTTAAGTAAATTACACAAAGCACTTACTTGTTACTGGTTAATTGGCAATGCTTAAAGGAAAATCCGCTTCGTAATCATTTGAGTTTTTAATAAAATCCTGGTAGCTTAGCTAAACATGTTTGCTTCGTAGAATTCTAAGTGTAGACTTTAAGCAAACATTAAAAAAAAAAAATAGACATTAAGGTCACAATGCTGTCCGGTTCCGACAAGGCTATGCTCTGTGAGCCTAGAATTTTCATTTTTCAATAAAACAACTTGTATTTTTTTTCCAATTATGTGTCTGCTTCGAAGGGTGCAGCCGTAATTTTACGTGCTGCTAAATATGTGGCACGCGTGGGATCTCTTTGTCCTTATAATATATAATAGGATTGACAATTCAATTCGTCTTAATGAATTTTAATTTGATTCGATTTTATAAGATTAATTTTTTTTTAAATTAAATTTTGAATCAGGTTAAATAATATTAAAAAAAAAAATCGGATCAGATTTGAGTTTTAGATAAATCTGACTCGATATTATATTATATAATTTTTTTTATTTATATATATTTATATAATTATATATTTAAATATTTATATTTAAAAAATAATATTTTATTAATTTCAAATAGAATCAAGTATGATTTATATAATATCGAATCAAATCAAATTTAAATATAAAAAAATTAAAAAAAATTCAGATCAAATTTGAAAATAGTAAAACTTTATTCTAACCCGACTCATTACCAATTCTAAAATTGATGCCTGATGGCTGAAAGATGGCATTAAAAAATAAAAGATAACAAAGGTAATAGGAAGAACAATTGTGATTTGAAGTAAGATATCCAAATGCTCTTGGTGCTATTTCTAATTCTCTTTTATAATTATGTTTCAAATCATATTTTAAGTTATGGTATTCCAATGCTTAGTAAAAATATTGGAATGTCTTAACATAAAATCATGTTAAAGGTTTTTTAGACATAATATTCAAATATCATATACAGATGTCTCATTTTTAAATATAATATTCAGATTTTATTGATTAAGTATTCAAATAATATAATATAAAATTAAAAGAAAAGTTATTTTTCTTGCTTAATTACATGAAATTTAAATTTTAATGTATGACATTCGAATATCTTCAAAGTTTTTTCATTAATTATTTTATATTTTAAATTAAATTTTTATTTTAAATTCTTTCAAAATTATTATATAATTTTTTAATTTATTGATTAACACATCATGTTTAATCAATTTTGTTCATTATATTTCAAAATATTCCTACAAAATCTTTCACAAGTTAAAAAGGAAACTTTAAGACGAATTGTAAATTAAAATTTTAATTTCATAAAAAACTTTCTGTGTTTTTTTTTTAAAATTTATATTAACTTTCTAACATTCTTAAGTTTAAATTTAGAAAATGTAAAAAAGTATAAAAGTATACTTTTGACTTAATCCAAATATTAATAAATAAATATGCACCAAAAAGATAAACGAGGAAGTTTTAGTTTCAACCAAAAGGTAATGCTTTATTTTTATAAAAATTAAATGATATTTTTATTTTTTGACATATAACGTTGATTTTTTTTGGCTAAGATCATATAACATTGATTAAAAGCAATCTATTATAGTAGTAAAAAAAAAAGTTTTTGTTTTTTTCCGAGGGATATATTGCCATTTGTACCAAAATTTACATTTCAGTCAAAAATACCCACATAGTCAAACCCAAGCTGTACGGCAACACCGGTAAAACCTGCTCTTTTATTTGTCCTGAGGTGGTGGAGAATCTTAACTGCCACACTACAAATTTGCCACTTGTCAACCACTATCCAATGACCAGGATTTCTCCACGTGCACGGCTCTCGCCCTCTTCCTCTCCCTACTCCCTTCTCTTCTCTCCCTCAAATATATAAAAGCTTAATTGTCAGTTCCTCACCACATTTCTTTCTCCCCACTTCACTTTTGTCCGACTTTCCAAACAGCGAACACCAAAAAAAAAAAAAAAAACGGAAGCCAGAAACCGAAATAAAATCCAAAATTAAATTAATTTGTTTTTTTTTCTTTTATTTACCGCGAATTACTCTTTGGGAGTTTCGAGGTGTTAATTCTCCGCCGCCTGCCAATACGGTGGCGTCGTCTCCTCCTCCTGCCACCTACATGTCGACCTCCAGTGCTGGCAATTCGACTGCGTACTCGGAGGATCCGAGTAAGAAGATCCGGAAGCCTTACACTATTACCAAGTCTAGAGAGAGCTGGACCGAGCAGGAGCACGATAAGTTTCTCGAAGTTCTTCAATTGTCAGTAAATTTAATTTTTGTTCTATTTTAGCTATTATTTGTTTAGTTGGAAAATGAATTGAGTGAAGTGAGAGACAAAGTCAATTCCTTTTTTTATGTTTTATTATTTTATTAGGTACCAAATAGGGAATTAGGGTTTTAAATTGGTGTTTGTTCAATAGCGGTGAATATAAAATGTTAATGTTTGTTTTTAATGTTTAGGGCTATATGTTACATTAATATTGTGGGTTTTGAGTGTAGCTGGGATTGCTGAAATATTTTATGGGAAGGGAAAACAGATTGAAAATTTGGATTTCATTTAGTGTTAAGATAGATAAAATGCTAAAATTCAAAGAGGATATTATGCTTAGGTGAAGTGAATTTTGTTAGAATTTGTTTTATCTGGACTTTTACCACTTGTATGCATTTGCTTGTGATTATTCAGATAATTTGGTTTTTACTCCACATAAATGACCTTCTTTGGTTGATGAGCAACTGGAATAAGATATTGACTTTAATTCCAAGTACATGAAATTAAGTTTATCGATTGCCTAAAATTTAAATTAGTGGTGCTGATGTGATTTTTTGTTCACCTTACTCATTTTAGATTTGATCGTGATTGGAAGAAGATTGAAGCATTCATTGGTTCGAAGACAGTCATCCAGGTAAATGGAAAGATGTTATGATTTCTTCCCATAACTACTAGGCTATATGTTGTTTTCAATATGTTTTACCAAATACTTCAATGGATGCTCTTGGCAGATCCGTAGCCATGCACAGAAGTATTTCCTAAAAGTTCAGAAAAATGGGACAAGTGAACGTGTACCTCCCCCTCGGCCAAAAAGGAAAGCAGCTCACCCCTACCCACAAAAAGCTCCCAAAAATGGTCAGTAAGGCCAACATTTTGATATCAGTTGTATTTTTTTGTGGGTAGTTTTGTTATCCTGAGTTGACCCTCTTTTACATTTGTATCTGTTGCAGCAACTGTTGTACCCCAAGTTGCTGGACCATCTCAATCTTCATCTGCCTTACTTGAATCTGGTTATACGTACAGACCAGATTCATCATCAATGCATGGAAATCCAGTTGCCACTTCAGCTTTGTCTTCCTGGTCTGTGCCACCTGTCACTGTGTCTCAAGTGACCAAAGGTTTTAATTGTTCCTGCACTGTTTTTATCTCCTTTTCTTCTTCCTCTCAACTCTCAAAAGTAAAATAACATATGGATCATGTATGTTTTCAGATGATGCCATATTGGCTAGACCAACTATTGCACATAATTCTTGTTACAGTATCAGTAATGAAAGCACACCCAGGACTTGGCCATTTGGTGAAACAATTGACCGAGGGGATCATGGGAAGGAATCTAGAGGTTAGTATTTTATTTCTACTTTGAGCTTGATACTGGCATCGCTGGACCATGTTGATATGACCATATCTCTAAGCTACAACACTGGAATAGCAAATAACATGATGAATGCAATTTTTGAAAATAATTAATCTAAAATAGAACTTAATAATAATGGCATCTATAATGCAGTCTCTCACAGCACTTTAATCATCTGCTATATGTAAAGTAACTTTGGTTTTAACACCTACTGCTGATTACTGAATTAAGTGCTTGATATCAAAAGATTTCTGATTTGTATGATATATTCACTTATCTTTACACTTGAAAAACTTAACATTGTTTACTTTTGTCTCATATTTGAGGTTTGTTTATTGTTACAAAAAGTGTCATGTTTTTCGATTTGCTAGAAATTGATCTTGTTGTCTCTGATACTTTCATGATGAATTTTAGTTGCCTCATCATAAAGAACATCAACTTATTTGACTGTGGAAGTATTTTTATCTGTATTCTACCCATATTTTTGCCTTGTTGCTGTATATTTTCTTGATGTTATTACTTACTGGGTTATTCTGTAATCCCTTGCTGCTCTTTTTAGCTCTTGCCATCCTTATTTATGATTATAAAAGACGGACATTTTATGTGTACTTTGAATTGCCTAGTTCACCCCAGAGAATAGCTTGAATGCGAATTAGTCGGTTTTGTAGCTGTCACTTAAGCACTGGAGTATTAGGAACACCTGATAAACAAAAATTTTATATTATTACATCTTGAATTTTTCTTTTGTCCCATTAGTTATAACTCTCCTTTTGATGCAGTTATACCAGATTTTGCTCAGGTGTACAGCTTCATTGGCAGTGTCTTTGACCCTGGTGCAAGTGGGCAATTGCAGAAGTTGAAGCAGATGGACCCAATAAATTTGGAAACAGTATGTCACCCTAAATGATGTTATTAATCTGCCTTTTCTTTTCACTTTGAAGGGCGGTGTGTGGAGGAGATAGAGGTGTCATATTCTTACTTAGAAGGTTACAGTTAACTCGAGGGGCTTTCTTTGGCTCTTTGCAGGTATTGTTGCTGATGAGAAATCTCTCTGTCAATTTGACAAGCCCCGAGTTTGAGGATTATGTAAGTTCTTGTTCCTCTTCTTCAGCATGTATTTATATTCACTGTTGGCTCTTACACAGTATATGTTATTTTATTATTAAAATTTTAGGCCTGAAACTATTTTTGATGGAGAAGTCTGCTCATATAACACTGAAACTACATTCAATTTGAATCTGAATGGATCACTCTATCTACCACCTTCATTTGAGTTTTCTGTTTAAACGCCATCCTGTGATATTGTTTTAGAATTTTGCATTGTCTACCAGGTTCTCAGTTTTGGAGGGTCTGTACTTCTTGAGATAAATTCTTTCTTTCATTTATTTTGCACTATTTCTTCTTTTATTTATTTCATATTAATTGATAATAATCATCACTGTAGTTTTGAATATATAATGATTATAAATCATCATCATCGTGAGTATTATTTAGTGCCCTGCTTCTTGGCTTCTCTTTCCTTTTCTGACTTGGAAGTTTTGAGCCAAGTACATGTAGTTATTACTGCCACCTATTGTCATGTACATATTAAATAAATAATTATTCTCTGCAAAAGAAAATGAGAACCAATTAATGCCCAAAGGTCTAACACAACATCTAGTCAAAATATATATTTCATTCTTTACTGACTAGTAATAAAATCAATGCAGAGAATGTTGCTTTCAACATATAATGCCGAGTCTGAGTGTGTTAAACTTGGTAGCTCCTACAATATCATTCAAACTCGTAAATCGGCAAGTGCTGTTCCAACAGCATAATAAGGTACTTCAAGTGTTTGTGAAACAGTGCACGCCCTCTTCTTTTTCTTATCAGCTCATTGCTCATTCCAAGGCATGAATGAAAGGTTGTGGGCAAAAAGTTCCAGCAGGTTAACTTGTTAGCATGGTGTAGTGGTCAGATGTGTATGCATGTGGCGTAGATATGATCTTCCCAGTTCCTGGCAGCTTATAGCATAGCCTGTCAATACACTGATGTCTTTTTTGTGCCTTGTGTATATCATAAAAAATTCGTTTGTTAGAGCCTACCATGTATAGAGCTTTGAGTGCTTCTCTGAGTTTTTCACTATATATTTTCTCATAATTCCTTTTGTGGGGGTTTTGATACAGAAATAAAGTAAGGGTTTGCATTACTGCAACGGTCATTTTCTCTTTGGCTCCATGTTCGGTGCTCTGCAGTACCAAAATATTCTATATTTCATCTGTTCTATACCAATGTAAATCTTTTGCTCATTTAAATCAGCTAATTGGATCACATAGCTGTATCCAGCATTTTTCAAATATAAGGTATATCGATTGTGATCAGAGCTATTATATTTGGCCTTCCAATGTTCGATTTCAAGGTTTTACTTTCAGTTGGTACGTATGCATATATAGGAAACAAAGCAGAAGCAATTATTATCTCAATATTTTTCAATACCTTTTTTTATCAACAAAGAGCGATTGGAGGAGATTTTGTTCAACAAAAGAAAACGGTGATTGGTTGCTACGGATTCAAGGTTGAAGGGTGCTGATGCTTTGCATAAGCAGGGTTTTATACGCTATTTTATTAGTAATAGTAAATTTTAGAGATATTATTACGAATGGTATAGGTTATATTTGAGTTGTAAAAATGTTAAAGAGTTATTTATTGGTCATGTATCATCATTTAAAATTAATTATATTATAAATAAATATTATATTAATTAATAAATTAATAATTCGTATATCATATTATAGATTTTAAGTTTAAATATCATATTAAATATTTTATTATAATTCAGAGAAAAAAAATCAAAACTCTACCCCTAATTTTTAAGTCGGAACAATTTATAGGCCCATCAGACCCTCATCCGTATTACTAAGTGGGCCAACCGTTAGCCCGGATTTTTATTTTTTAAAAAAAATCAGGAAACGGTTTGCGTATTAGGTCTTAGGCATATAAATAACTGCTTCCTCCATTGCCATGCACTGCAAATAAAATTTCTTCCTTCTTTCCATCTTTCCAGAAGAACTTGGACGTCATTCGTTCCGTTTTCTTTTTGCATTTTGCCGTCAATTTACTCAAGAAACTACTTCAAGATTGTTCCTCTCCTGGATTGCCGTCACCTGGTTAAAGAAACCCTCCTGGATCACCCAGGGGTGAGGCAGTGACAGTTACAGTGACAGTGACATTTGCTCGCTTTTAGATAAAGCTAGCGATGGAGATAACCCCTTCCATATTAAAGCTACTCGAAGAAGAAGAGGTTTCTTTTCTTTTCTTTGATCATCTCTCCACCAAATATCTATGGAAATTGCTTAGAGATTGTTTATCTTTATTTCTAATTTTGGTTTGATAAACGAATGATAAAAAGGACGAGACAATGCATTCTAAAGCTGACGTGGACGCATACCAGGCCGCCTTGAATCGTGATATACAAGGCCATACCTCCATTTCTCAGCCGTCTCATTCAAATTCCGGTGATCATTCTCAATTTCTTTTTTTTTTTTTGGGTTCTTATTCTTTTTGCAAATGTAAATTAAAGATTTTTTTTTCTTGAATATATAGAAAGGGCGTACGTTTTAGGAATGATGAAATATTATTTAGAAGAAAATTTGAGTAAAAAAAATTCTTTCTTTTTGTTGTTGTTTGGCTTTTGTTTTTGTTTTTTGTTTAAATGGGTACAGTCTTTCTCCTGGAAAATCCATGAATGCTTGTGATTTCAACGTTTTAAAATTAGAGCGAGTTTTGTCTCAAGGAAACCATCAAACCGTTGACCAAGATGGAAGAGCTATCAACTTACATAGTCAACAAGCTCTTCAAAGTGCCCAGCAGACACAGCAGAATTTGCCGGAAATGGAGCATGTGCCTCATGGATCCATTCCTGAGAATCTGCAAAAGCAACCAATTGATGTACCTGAAGGACTCAATTGGCTCCCGATACAACAGAAACAATCCCAAGATGCAGGACAAATTGCTGGTCAGGTTTCTCAAACTACTGGGATGCAGACTTCTCAATGGAATGCTATCCAAACACCTGTATCAGACAATGAATCACAATGTTTAAAATTACAGAAGGTGGGTAACCAGGAGACAATTGGTGGAAAACAAGTATCTTTTGCTGTATTGATGCCTACTTCACTGCCCCAACTTGATAAGGACAGAGCCATGCACTTGGACATCGAATTTTTATTTTTTTACAAATTCTCATGTTTACTTATATAACTGATGCAATATGCTGGATGAATTTGTATTTCCTGATTATTTTAACTACTTTTTTCTGCTAGAGAAAAGAAATGAAAAAAGAGGTATTTGTTCGGCCAATGAGTGATATTGTAGGAAATGAAAAGCTGAGGTTGGCTGTTCCTAACAAGCTTGTATAAGCAGGGACATGTTTTCATTATGATGAAAAATGATGCTTGGTAGATTATACATGAGTTTCAATATCAAGCTAAAAAATATCCATGATCTCAGATGAGTTCTAATCAATTTCTATTACATTCCAGGCCTCAGCACAGCAAAGAAATCCGAGGATGCCATCGATTACTGGTGGCATCTCACAGATCGCTGGTCATCATTCATTTTCTCAGCTGCAAAAGAAAACCCTCCAGGCCTCAGCACAACAAAACAATCCAAGGATGCCATCGTTTACTGCTGGTATCTCACAGATCGCTGGTCACCATTCATTTTCTCAGCTGCAAAACTACCCTGCCAATTCATCTCATGCTCACTCACCAGTGGTTTCTGTGCTGACTGGTTCAAGTTATCCATCATTTGTAAACAATGCTCAAAATTCTCGAGAGATGGATAACCAATCAGGTTCTCGCATTGGAGTACTAGGAAGCCAAATTTCTTCTTATAGTTCAAGCGCTGCAAATCAAGAGATAGATTATGCTTCAATTCCTGGGCAAGGAGTTCACAAGCAGCAACAACGACATTTGGCTTCCTATTCTGAAACAGATGTGAATACTTCAGGATCCTCTTTTATGTCACAACGTCATGATTCGCAAATGAGGCAACTTACTCATCATCAAAGCTTGTCAATTCCTGTAAGAGGGCCAATGCAAGCCATGAACATGATGAATTGGGCAAAACATGAGAGGCAAAACTCTATTAATGACACAACTAGGTTGCAGGGTGGTTCACTTAGTCACATTTCAAGCAATCCGTTTCCTTTTCAAGTTTCAGGTAGTAAGGAGCCGAAGAATAGCCCTTTGTCATCAGTGGCATATATACAGCAGAAATCTGTTGATCATGGTGCTCAGCTGCAGCCCAAGTTGCATTTATCTGCGCCCCAGAGACCATCTGTTGCACAGGTTTTTCAAAGAAATGCAGTTCCGGCAACTTCAACGGATAAGCCTTTAGAGAAGCAGCTGATTAATTTTGGCAATATGATGCCCATGAATTCAGTCTCTCCTTCATTGTCGTCTCAGCTGGACCATAATGTCCTGGTACTCTTACTTTAGCCTTTGCTTTTGTAATTATGATGTCTTAATGAATGATTCTTTATGTTTTATTGACAAATTTCCTTATGTTTATCAGTTGAGCTCTCAGAATCTATCAGTTACCTCTCCAGCTGATGCCAATGCTAGAAAACCTAGGAAAAAGCCTTCTGTTGGCCAGAAGAAACCACTTAAAACTCTTGGTTCATCACCACCTCTGCCAAGGTTAAACAAATCCTTCTGTTGTTGTATGATATCCTGACTCCTGAGAATGATTATCAATGGTCAATTGAAAGCTATTTGATCCATCCTTGATTTTAACCATTGGTACATCATTTTTCATATATATTTAATCGGATTCCCCACAGTAAAAAGCAAAAGGTATCTAGGGCCTTTTCTGACCAGAGTATTAAACAACTCAATGATGTCACTGCTGTTAGCGGAGTCAATCTTCAGGTATGATGTCTGATGGTCATCTCTGCTACTCTGCATATTGAATTACTATCTAGTTACAAAATATCCAAATAGGGAAGTTCACAAAATTTTGACATTCTGCCCAAACATAGGAAGAGGTGGAGCAACTATTTTCTGGGCACAAGGCGGACAGTCAAGTTTCAGAAGCATCTAGAAGGGTTGTCCATGAAGAAGAAGAAGAAGAAAGAGGGATTCTATTGAAAACTCCTTTGCGGATTAAACTGACTGAAATTAGTTAATATTATTATACCCTTCTTGTTGATTCATAAGATCCTGCAATTTCATGTGTTTAGATTCTGCTTTTTTTTTTGTTTACGAAATGTTCAACATTTTGTTGATATCTAGCTTTCTTTGTCTTCTGTTGATAGTTGCCAAACATGGTTTGAAGAATATAAACAATGATGTGGAGCGGTGCTTATCATTGGTGAAATGCTAATAACTTGGTCCTTCCTTTTGTTTGTAATGAATTTATACACTTTCTTATGTAATTGAATTGTTAGAGTGTCGAGGAACGAATGCGTGGACTGCTATGCAATTTAATCAGACTTTCAAAACAGGTCAGCTTCGGTTCCTCTCAGTTTAGTGTTCTTTCATATGATCTTTCTGATTTTGAATGTATCTTTATAGAGGGCTGATGCTGAGAAGCCTATGCACCAGAAGCTTATCACATCAGATGTTCGGCAACAAGTCATTAGATTAAACTGCAAGGCGAATGAAGAATGGCATAAAAAGAAGGTTGAAGTGGAGAAGCTCCAGAAACTTGATGAGGTGGATGCTGTTTGTGTCTGATGATATAATATCCATAATGCAGAGAAGAATCCACAATGCACACACAAATAGACATGCATGATGCTTGTCTGCTCACTAATTATTTACATAAAATAAGTTTTTAATTCTTTGGTGCTGTCCAGACAAACAAGAAGGATGATGACAAGATGATGGCCACTGCTGCAAATGTTGCTGCACGTGCTGCTGCTGGGGGAGATGACATGTTGTCAAAATGGCAACTTATGGCTGAACAAGCCCGCCAGAGACGTGAGAGGGGAATAGATGCAGCATCCAGTTCTCAAGCAAGTAAAGATGTGAACCATAAGTCTTTCTCAACATCTAGAATATCTGTAGTCAATTGTTGAATTTATTTAGCTGGTTAATATGGTATAAGGTTTATCTATTTCTATTGTCAGTTTAGATGGAAACTAGCTATATTTCCCCAAGGAATTAATTCATTGAAATGCCCAAATTATTATATGCTGTAAAGATTATTTTCTTGTTTTAAGGTTTGTTCCCTTCACTTAGTTAATCAGTCCTATGCAACATATTTTTCTGTATTTGCATTCTTTTTTACCCAACTTTCTTTCAACAGGAGCAATTAGAAAATTTGGCCAGAACCAAGTGATCGTGGCTCGAACTATTTCTGTTAAGGATGTAATTGCTGTATTGGATAGGGACCGCCAAATGTCTAGGTCAACACTGAATTATCGCTTGCATGAGAGAATCCGCTCCATGGCTTCCGATTAGGGATCAAGGTGCATCTTATGCTGTATAGTCTCATGTTTTCCATCAGGGCTCCGATTATGGAATTGGATTGGGATTTCAGATGTCTTAGCTTGATGCATGCATGCATCTCTATTGCAGGAAAATTTGATACAACAGCTGGATAGCTAATTCAAAGGTTTAATGTGGAAACCATTAAGGTTTTCTAGTCAGATTATTTTGGTTTCTTGAACATGGGATCTAATAGTGTTTGTTTAGGTGTGCTGTAAGTGAGAAGTGAGAACCCTGGCAATTGGCCTTTTGCTCAGAATAATGCCAAAAAGAAAGGAAAAGATACGCAGTAGAAAGAGGGTAAAAATATTTCCTCTGCAATTGTTAATCGTGGACTGCCTGACTCGTTAAATTAAAATTGGTTAGCAAATTACATGCAGAGTGAGCCTCGCCTGGACAATGGACATAACTACTCAAACAAAGTGATTTATCGTTACCCTTTGCCCCTTCCCTTCAAACTCTTTGAATGCACAAATTAAAGAAAGAAAAAAGAATGAGGCCAAAAAAAAGAAAAAAGAAGGGACACATACAACCAAAGGCCAATTTTAAGTATTAACATTTTAATTACACTGACACAGAGTAATCCCTCCTAAACGAAGAACATCAAATCCAAAATTCACGGGGTAGCAAATCTGAGAATCAATACATTGCGATTTGGCAAAACTACAACCAAAACCCATTATCTATACCGAAAACCCATGTCTAGCTCGTGACCATACATCCCTTGACTATGGCCAGCCGCCCCGAAAGGGTTAATCTGCTTTGAGTTTGATCTGAGTTCCATCTCAATAAGCCTTTGCAATGCCTCTGGATGATGGCTCCCACTGCCGATGTCATGACCTGAAGATCAAGCAAAAAATGTGCATTATTGCATATAAAACAATTTAGATCTAGATGGAATACAAAGAGATGCAGCAACATGAGTGCAGGGAAAGGTCCTCCATCATTGCAATCTTTTCTTTTCATTTTTCCAGCCAAATAGAGCAATAGAGTAAACAATTCAAAATGATGCGCAACAAGTTTTGGCATGGGGGCATTATCACACTTTTTAAATTACCTTAGGCCAACAAAACAGTCCATTACATCAATTGTAGGTATTTCCAAGAATGAAATAGGGTGGGCCGATTTTACAAAGTTTAAACTGTCAAGGATAAGAAATAAACGTGATATATATTAAGTACTTTACCTGGAGGCATTCCAAGACCAGCAAAGTTGGGCTGGGGCTGCCGGTGACCATGTCCAAATGGAAAACCATGCATTGGATTCACTTCCTGTATGAAACCACTCACCTGATTATTTGAATGAGGCAGTGGTGGACCTCCGTGAAACCCTCGCTGCAAGTGGGGTGGAGGAAAGTTTCCAGGCATAGGCATTTGTTGTAACATAGGATGAATAGGGTGATGCATTGGAGGATCAAATCCGGTTAGTTCACTGCTAGGGTGATGGAAAGGAGGGCGAAGCATACTTGCAGGAAATTGATGATTTGAAGGGGCATCATGATGGATGATACCTTCTGGAGCGATGAACTTCACCTGAGAATTGATGTTAGAAGGATGAGAATCGAATGAATGAATCAAAGGACCTCCATGATTCAATTGAGGATGAAGCTGTGGAGAAGACGGCTGCACATTTTGATTATGAAATGGAATATCTAGCTCTCTCATATCATAGGGACCGGGAAGAAAAGGCGAACCTTCTTGCCCTCCTACAAAAGGTCTTTCATCCTGGAGGACAGCCTTCAAAGCTGCTAGTTTCTCAGCAACATCAATCGATGTCTCTTGGGAGGCCAATAGCTCTGCTTTTACTTTACCAGCCATGAAGTTCTGGAGTTCCACAGGATTACTGACACCAATCAAACCATCCTCTTCAGGAAGCTGAATTTCAACAGATCCGTCAAAACCACCGAGTTTAGACCCGAATTCAGCTTGGAGATGTGATGAATTCACTGCAGAACGAGCATCATTATAGCCTAACAAATGCTCTTCAATGCCATCAGATTTGATCTGGTCTCTTTGATTAAATGGTAAAATATTTGTTTCAAAAGTAGTCCTGTTTGACCCAACGTGAACTGTGGATGGAAGAAGACCATCATCTGTGACATGAAGGGGAAGCCTGTTAGATTCCAATACATCAACTCTTGCAGACTCTACTGAGCCCCTCTGAACAGAAGCTGGTGCTCCAACTGATTGTAGTTCCTTCATGAAAGCACTTCCAAAAAGTGCTTCAAGAGTTAGACTCTTCCCTGAACTGGAAGCATTTTCTGCATTTGCCTCTATTGAATCATGAGGTGCAGAGTCAACACTTGTTGTTTCAATATTTTGTACTCTTTTTGAAGACCTAATAACTAGATTGGTAGATGATACTATACTTTTCATACTCGTTTTGTTGTGTAACAATGAAAGAAGGTGCTGGGAAGCATGATCATCGATATTAACTCCTTGCGTATCACTTTCAGTATCAACAGTTTTCCAGCCTTCAACAACAGGAGGCAACATTGGATCATTTTCAGTACTTTCTGACAGAATGGACTTTTCAAGATCCTCACATGTGAGGACAGGTGGAACTGCTGCTGGTTTGTTAACATCATTAATATTGCATGATTGTTCAGAGTTTTCAATTCCAGAAGACGTCAAATTTGAAATAACATGCCTGTCTGCAAGTTCAGAGAATTGGAATGCAAAGTTTGAGGCTATATGCTTAGTAGCTATCCTATCAGAAACATGGGAACCAGCTTTGTCACCACCCTGAATTAGTGAGAGTAAGTCTTTTGGCCTGCCAGTGGAGAGATCATCTATTGGTTTCTTCTCTGCAATAACAATATAAAAAGAAGAAGAATATCAGCTTATACTGTATTACTTGAGACATAAGCAGATTCACTTAATGCGAGATTAGTTGTAATGAACAACAACAAACCTTCATCAAGAAACAAATGAGCAAACTTAGAAGAATGGGAAATGTCAGGGGCCCATGTCTCATCTGCTTTGCTGCCATTATGCTGAAGAAAGAACAAGAGATATTAAAGGCTATCAAATATTTCATCAAGGAAAACTGGAAGTGAAAAGATTAAAATAAAATACCTAGATAAACCACACATAAATAAGATGTATAGTTCATTGAACAACCTAGTTTTAATTACATTAAGGGAATTAGAAATGATTATTTAACTAAAGTCATTCAACATAGGTGTCTTCTATATACATGTGTTTGAATGCAATGTCTCTAAAATCAAAATAATACCTCAGTGAATTTAGTGGAGCCACCTCCATTCGGAGTTAAAGCACTACCTAAAAGCTTGTCTAGAATTGAAGTTGAACTATCCTGGTTGATTTCAGTCAAAATTGTATCTGGTAGCAGCTTCTTGGAATCAAGTTCTCTAACTTTACTGGTCCCTGGGGCTTCAAAGGCTTCTGAGAGACTAGAACTCTTGTGTAACTCAGAATCCACACTTATTGCCTCATTAGATTTATCTAAAGCTGATGAGAAATTCAAAGCCTTCCCACTCTTATTATTGGCTAAAAGGTGAATGCCTGTACTTTCAAGCTGCTGCTCACTCAAAGTTTCCTCTCCATACTGTTTAGACTGTTTGCCCAAAAGATCATCTTTAGTCCCATTCAACAGAAGGCTGCCCTCATTTTCAGAACCCCCAACCTAGAGAAGCATAACAGAAGAAATATCATTAATCAAGTGTAACAGCCAAGAATGTGTGCGACAAATATGAACTCAGCATTGGTCTTGAAACATGCTCTATCCTAATAGCATCAGTATTGAGTTACACAATATATTCAAAGTACAACTACTGAGTGAAAACCAAATGCAAGCAACAACCACCAGCTAACAATACCCTATCTTTCAGCATTCAGAAGAATAACGTCTCTTTAAAGCAGTACATAATGCAACCTTATAAAATCTATTGTTCCAATAAGTAACATTCAAAAAGATATCATCTCCGTTAATGTCTCAGTTATGCATGTGTACCATTGGGAACATATATAGACTTCTATTAAGTATAAAACTATAGGTGTCTGTGCCAGTCAAATCCAAATGAATGAGAAAAAGAGAAATTTTCCCCCAAAATGCTCCCACTGAATCATTTATATACAGATGGCCACTTTCATGCACTGATCTTAAATGATAAAATTGTTCCTTTCTCCCCATTCCAACCAAAATGATGGAAAATTCTATATTGCCTTCCATTACATCAACTGATTCCCAATTTATTCCTGTTACATTACAAAATTGAAAAGCAACCAAATTTTAATGGTAAGGTTGCTATTAGAATAAAACTGGAAGTAGCCAGTACATAAAGATTAAATAGTGGTAACAAACCAAGATTATGCGATGGCAAAAAGATGGAAAAATTGTGAACCAATGATTGACACTTCCAATCAAAATTACATACCAAAAGGTACAAACAACATTATAAGGGGTGTTTTAAATTCTGAAAACAAATGTAAGAGTTACCTGTGAAGAATAGGGGTGCATTGAAGTTTTGGTTCCAAAATTCCGTTCCAAAATTGTGCTTGCAAAACCTGGTGGTACAAGTGGTCTGGATGCAGGAGTTTGTGAGGGAAGAGAAGATTTGTCGGAATCAATATTTGATGCTAGCATAGGTTCATCTGATTCCTTGCTTTTATTTGGAAGTCTTTTATCATCTTTGGAGTCCGCTAGCAATTCAGAAATATCAAAGTCATCTTTACGCCTTTCCGGATTAATCTTCTTCTCTTGAAATGCTTTCTGCTGTTCCTTCCTCCATGACTCAAAGGAAGCTACAAGGGAAAGTCAACATGCCTTAGCTTTGATTTATTGATAACAAAAACAGAGTAGAGGAAGAAGATAAAACATAAACAAAATAAACAACAATCAGCAGGCAGTCTTCTAGATCAGAGAACCTACCTCTTCTCTTTCTTTCCTCTTCTGCCCTATCCTCACCAGTGCATTCAATGGAACCAAATGTTTCATCATTAAATGAGTCATTAGTTTCCTTCCTTGAATGTGGTACAGCCTGAAAAAAAAATCAGCACACATAAATGACATCTATTAAAATAGTATTTCCATTGCTACTGCATCATTTTGCAATTCCCAGTAAATATAATTTTAGCATGAGATGCGTTTCTACACTAAATTGAATATAGCTGCTGTTATGGTACTGCTCCCAATATTGTCCACAAATGACCACTAAAAGCAAAAGAGTACCTTATAAGGGCGTGGTGGATGGTAAGGCTCATTACTCCTATTTAGATGGTATTGATCATTAGCTCGAAACTTTGGAGCTGATGTTCCTGCTACATATCCAGATGGTCGAGGAAAAGAACCACTCCCCAGAAGCCCATCATGCTCAGGACCTTGCCAAGACCGCCGGGATTGATAGCGTCTTCCAGAATCTATATATTCAATAGAGTCATTCAATTTGCAAAATAATACAATTTGTCGGTTGCTCTACACAACACAAAAATGAAGTGGATAAAACCCAACTACAATTGTAGCCAAAAAAATACTAACTACAAGAATGGCCTTAACAGACATTCTTGAGGCAATGAAGTGGATTACCCCATGCTTTAACAGAAAGCACAACGCATAAAGCACTCCATATGAGCAGAAAATATATATCAAACTATTGATAGAACAAAAGAATCACAAACATTACCCGAGTCCCAATCAGATTGCGAATCGCTGTCTCTATCACTCCTTCCACTAGAGCGACTGTCCCACCGTCCATGCGTTCCCCGAGAATAGTTACCTGAATCCCCTTTTGTGGGTGGTGATGAACCATATTCAGTACGCCTAAAACCCAACAAGGTGCCGGGAATTCTTTGCCGGTCTTGCGATGTATCCTCCAATTCACTGCTCCAACCATATAATTAGGCAATGAATACCAAAAAGATCTAAGTTTGACTTCATCTTTATAATTTTACAAAAAAATACGTACCCCATGACCATAAAAAAGACAATCTCACCTCAAAAATGATTGATTGAATCCAGGAGGTAACTTCTTGCAAACATCCAGTTCACTCAATGATAGCAAAAAATCTCTGGTATACGAAATTTTCGATTTCCTGAAGCATTAAAAAACAAATTGGTTATCAGCCTCACTCAATCAAAAAAATAAGCAAAACACTAAAATAAATAATTCTTCAGCCGAAAGAAGTGATTACTTTTGAGAATCCTTAATGGAATCCGAGGGCTGATCTAACGAATGTTGTTCTTCATTTTCTAGGCTCATTTCTGCAAAAATTTAAAGAAGAGTATACACCAAATACTCTTTTAACTCTAGCTGCAACCCACGAAATACACTACTCAATGACTCAAAACTTTGAATCTGCTAAGCAATTCTCATGTATCTTATCTCCAACCAATTTCTACAATGTTCCCTAATCACTGCTTTACCATCATTAATTAACAACTAATCCAAAACTCCCCCAGCTAGTATAAATGAAGATAAATCCGATATTAGGCTATTCCATTCTTTGATCCACCTAAATCTACAATAAGATCCCAAACACTAACAAAATATTACAATATACGCCCCCAAAAATATTCTATCCCGGAATTGCCAAAATCAAACACGATCCCAAAAGTATATTTACTCAAAAAGTAGCATCTCCCGAATCTAAATCAATCCAAATATTGAATCAACGAAAGCTCCTGATTGAGATCGAAAAAAAATAATTTCTAGGGTTTTGTGCTAAGCTGAGGAACTTCAGGAAAAAAAACTAGGATTTTGTTTTTTACATGAGAAAATAAAATTGAAAACAAGCTGCTTGGATCGAAAGAAGTGTGCAGATAGAGAGAGAAAGTTAGGGTTTCGATCTGTGACTTTTTTTTCTTTTTTGTTTTTTTTTTTTTTCAATCGATCGTTGTGAGAGAGAGAGAAAGCAATTTGATTCTTTTTTTTTTTTTTGAGAGAGAGAGTTTTGAGAGAGACTGGCGATGAATCTCTCTATTTTACTGTTGCATAATGACGTTCTTCACCTTTCACTTCGCTAAACAAACGAAAATTAAAAAAAAAAAACCTTTTGAAAAAAAAAAAGAAAATTCCAAGTAACCCAACGTGTAATAATCTCTCGTTTTCGACACGCTCGAATTTAATTGGATCTCCTATAGAATATAGATTTTGGTAGAAGAGTAATATTCTTAAGGCGCGTGGGAAGATAAAATAAAAATGAAATTTAGAAGCGTAAAAAATAAAAATAACAAAGGGGTCCTTTAATTTTCAATAATATACAGACAGGTGTGCCGTTTTTGTCAATTAAATAAAATGATTTTATTTTCTGTTGGCAAATCATGGTCGTCAGCTGTGTTAAAAAATTAGTACAGTTTAGTAATAATTAACAATTGGCTAAGTTTAAAAATAAATTTTGAATTAGAATTAAATAATTAAAATAATATTTTTATTTTTATTTTTATTTGTAATTAATTAAATTTTAAAACATATATTTTGTTTCAATTAAATCTTTATTGATTGAAATTTTGTGAGAACTTAATTATATGAAAATAGATATTTAAATTTTTTTAAAAAATTTTAAGAAATTAGTTAAATAAAAATAAATGTTTAAATATTAATAATTATAATAAATTGAAAATTTTTTGAATAATTATTTTATTTAATTCAATTTTTTTTTTTACATTTAAAACTTAATAACTAATAATAATGCATAATTTCCATTTCTTTTTTATTTCTTTGATTAGCTGAATGTTTTTTATTTGTCTTCTTCGAATTTTAGCATTTTTTTAAGCTATATGTAAATTTAATATAAATTTATATTACAACTTATAATTATATTCAAACTGAAATAAAATAACATCCTTCCCGCAAACTTTTACTAAAAAAAATAGGTTTTTAGCCTGCAAATTTCTTGCCATTGGTCGATGTTCACTGTAATTCAATTTAATTCAAGAGATTAAAGTCAAAGCATAATTTATTTTTATTTTATCTAAGACATTTCAATATTCGATAATTATTTTGAATCTTAATTATTTAAAAATTAAATTAAATTAAACCCATAATGAGAGGTAAGATTTTTTTATATCTACTTTTTTTATTCATAAAATTTGAAATAAAAATTTTACTTTAAAAAAATCAAATTTTTTAACACTCGAATCAATAAATATCGGTAAAATATAATTTATTTAAACATTATTCATTGTCAATGAGCCAAAAATAAAATATTTTCTTTATGATGATTAATGTCTATATTTACATGGGTGAGAGCCTACACTTGTCACTTTTTTTTGCTTTTTTTTTTTTAATTTTCTTTCCACATTATTTTCAATACATAAAATAAAACAAATATATATTAAGTTTATAATTAGCAAATGTAACGTGTTTGTGTTTAAATGGTTTAACGTGCAATAATTCTACGTGAATAATAGTAGGTTATTTAAAGAAAAAACATATTGTTCATGTTGAAAAACTTTTTCTGCAACCTCAAGTAAAGTGAGAGTGCAGTGATAAGAAAGTTGATTAGCAGTTCAATCACATAAATAACAGTATATGGTTGATATTATTATTAGTATTAATGGTCTGCTGACCAAACTCTTTTTATTCAAAGGTAAAATGGAAAGCGATAACTTTCAAACGGAATAACAGTCAACAAGTTGTAAAAGCTATTTTTTTCCTTACTTTATTGCTGTTTTTCTTTTAAAATCATGTCCAATGCATGTGATGCTTAAAACTCAAGTTTTCCTTTTTTAAAAGTGATGATTTTTTTTTTTAAAGGTGAAGCTTTCTTTTTTTTTTTCAATTGTAAAAAATTGGAAACAAGGTATGCATTTACTGTCACATTATTTTTAGATAAAATTTATATTTAATACATTATTAACATATAAAATTTATATATTATAAATGAATCAAATGATATTATTATATTAATAAAATGAATTAAATATTATCATTTTATTTTAATGATTAATATTTATTTATTAATAATATATTATTATTTGATTCATTTATAGTATATAAATTATATATATTAACAGTACATTAAATATAAATTATTTTAGATTATGTTAAAGTTTAAGAAAATAGATAAAAAATTGAGTTGGTAAAGTTTCAATCTATCCCATTAAAAGAAATTTTGACATTAAAAATATAATTTTGTATTAAATAAATATTAAATGCATCAAATATTTAATAAAAACATATATTTTATTCAATGAAATAATCATTGAAGAATAACTTAGTAGTCGCACCTGTTCAATTTTACAGTCACTAAACCCAACTTTTTTTGTGAAAAAGTTGAGCTTTCAGCGATTGATAGAACAAAGTTTGAGTGTGTTTATAATACGTTTGGGGCTTTGGATTATTTGTGCGTACCGTTTGGAAAAGTGCTTTGAAATGCGTGATATAAAATATAACTTATATATAACAAGGAAAATGATGTTAGCTATATTAAAATAATATCGATTATCAAATATTATTTTCTAATTTAAACTTTATTATATACATAAAAATTTAGTCTTATCAAATTTTAATTTGAAATTAAAGTCTTGACTTTTTGAAGTTTAAGATTGTCACCATGTTCACTTGTTCTGACTTCGTCGTCAGAAAAGGATTTTATAAACTTATTTTGATTAGAACAAAATAAGAATCTAGTCGAGGAAGGAAAAAGTTGGGAAACATTTTTTTTTTTTTAAATAAAATGAGAAAAAACTCATTATACTTATAAAAAAGGATATATTCGATCATAAATGAACTATCATTAAACATTTATTAAATAGGTGTTCGTGCGTTATTACATGTTAAATTTTTTGTTTTATTTTTATTTATTATTTTCATTAATTTTGCCTATTCTAAAGGTAAAAAATAATTTTTTATTAGTATATGATCCACGTAATATCAAGTTTTAAAAAATAATATATATAAATATAAAATTAAATAAATAATAAAATATATATTTTTATATATACCAATGTAACTTGAAAAAAGGCTTTCAAAAATTATTTTTAATCCATCTAAGATTTTTTAAAAAAAACTTGACTCTAATTGATTTGATATTTTTTACAAAAAAATAATCATATCATATCAAGAAGAATAAAAATTTATTTGATATTAATTATTTTATCATATCTATTAATAGTTTTATTTTGTTGTAAAATTGATTTAATTAAAAAATTAAATAAAAAATGAAAACAATGAACAAATGGAGATGTTACGTGGGGACTTACCTTAAATTTTTTTAAAAGATTATATCTAATTAAAAATTAATAAATAAAAAAAGAAAAAGCAAACGTTTTTTAAAAAACAAACCGAATGGGATTGAAACAATAAAATACAAATTGTTTTACGTATCAATCAATTCTTTTTATTGGAAGATTTATGTAATTAAAAAAATAAAACAACAAAAAAATCAATTTTATTGCCCCCAAACTTAGCAGTTTTGGCTTCTACTTTTTTTTTTACTTCCTTATCCACTCTCGTTCACAGAAACCTCAATTCAAATAACCGCCCTTCAGCTTCCCCCCCAAAATTACGAAAAAGGCTAAAACTCATACCAGGCACTTTCAATGATTGGCATTCTCGTAAATAAAATAAACATAGATGACATTTTCCAGCACACCAAAACCCTTGCCGTGAAGTTCCACATATAATATAATCGCTCAATGATGGCCAAAAAAACCAATCCATTCTTTTGTCATGGCGTGTCCTTCGCTTCTACAATCTACAGCGTCCTCGTTTCTCGGCCATTCCCCTTTCTTTTCGTCTTCTTCGTCGGCGCGCCTGCCATACCGCAACCGCAGAAATGGATACGGCGGCGTCGTTTCCGTTAAGGCGGCAGGCGAGATTGTGTTGGTGGAGAAATCGGAAGCGGAAAAACCCTATCGTCTGAAAACTACTTACCTAGAAAAAATTGTCCCTTTGCTTAAAGAAGAGTTCAACTACACCAATATTCACCAGGTAATAAATAGTGATTTAAGTTTTTTTTGGGGGTTCGATTTTGGTTTGCATACTAATATTTTTGAGTGGGGATTCTGGGTTAGGTTCCAAAGATTGAAAAAATAGTAGTGAATTGCGGGATTGGAGATGCTGCCCAGAATGCGAAAGGTTTGGAAGCGGCTATGAATGAGATGGCAATGATTACGGGGCAAAGACCTGTGAAGACGCGAGCTAGGAATTCTATTGCTACTTTCAAGATACGGGAAGGCCAGCCACTTGGAATTGCCGTTACGCTTAGAGGAAACGTATGCAAGCTTGCTTTATTTCCTAATATTTAAATATGAATTTATATATATATCCTCTGGAGTATATTCGTTTTTTTGATATGTTTCTATTTCACTCCACTAGCCGATAGGAGTTATGTGATTCAATTCCTGTTTATGTGTCGAAGATTGTGTTGGTCGTGAGGTAATCCCCACATGAATATTGTGTTAGTGATTTTACAAGTATTAGTTGGTGGTAAGCAGTAGCAGTAGTGAACAGCTGATGGTAATTGCAGAATACATCAGGGAAGAGCAAAATTGACAATCAATGAAAGAATTTATGTTCCGTTTGCTTAAAACTGCTTTGGAACACTGGTACTGAATGGCTTGGAAGATATTTTGAATTCTTTAGGTGATAAATTGTGGATATTATCATGACTGTGATCATTCATATTCATGTACGTCAGACACATCATAGGAGGGGTAAAAAAGAAATAAGGAGATCATAACTATGCTATGCTTCTTGATTTAACCTACCTGAAGATGCGGTTTAAAGATTTTGTTTCAGTTATATATTTGTGTTAATTGCTAGCCATTGCACCAGAATATCGAGATTTCAACTTAGTTGTGCTGGTGTGGTTCTCATTGTTGCATTGCCAATTTGCTATGTTGGTATCAAATTACAGCTACTCCTTTTGCACATTTAAATACTGATATCTTTTGCTGTATCTTTGGTGGTTAATTTGTCAGGTGATGTATTCATTCTTAGATCGGCTCATTAACTTGGGGCTTCCTAGGACTAGGGATTTTCAAGGTTTAAATCCTAATAGTTTTGATGGACATGGAAATTACAGTATTGGAATTCGTGAACAGAGTGTCTTCCCTGATATCAGAGTTGATGCAATTGGTAAACCCAGAGGAATGGATGTTTGCATCAAAACGACGGCCAAGTCTGATAAGGAAGGTCAGAAGCTATTGGCCCTAATGGGTATACCTTTTAGAGAAGGAGATGGTCCTGTAGTCCAACAACGCAAGAAGAAACTGAAGCCTCACCACTTTCAGAAGAAGGGTGGCAAGGGCCGGAGATGAGAGTTTTCCCTGCTATAAGGCAGAGGTTCTTTGTACCATTTTGTTGTAATTGCATCATTGTCAGAAGGTAATGCCCTAAAGAATGATGTTAAATAATGCCAGATAATTTGGTTGTATTGTATCATCAGGGAAGTTTCAGTCAGGATTCAATTCTGTAGTCTTAACCTCTGAATTCAATGTAAAAGAATATTTGTCAATCTTTTTGGTCTCATTTCCATGGAAGAATGGTTTCAGCTGAACTTCAGGGTTCTTTTCCTGTTTTTAGCCTTGTTTCTGTTCGGGTCCAATTTCAATTAATGTTGGTTTGAATTGTTTCAATTTCAATTAATTTAACTCAAATCCACCCCTTAATTGCAATTGTATAGCTTGAATTAGGAAATGCCATTCTTTATCTGTTGTGTTGAGATTAAAAAAAAAAAGAAAAGAAAAAGTTGAAACAAAAGATAGAAAAGGGTCAAAATGAACATTTTAAAAGTCAAAAGGTAGAAAGTACGAAGATTTAACCCAATAGATAGGACCCACGGTCCTTAGTTTCATCGCCGTCTCTCGTAATCGTAATCATCGCTAATCAAAGTTAATAGACAGAACAGGCTGCCGTCGCTAAATTTCGTTTTTTGTAGATTGAGTGACGCTTGAATAAAAAAAGGACAGGATTCGCTTTCGCTGCTTAAAAACAGGGAAAGAGGGAAACGAATGAAAGAGCTTATGAAACAAAGATGGTTTGCTATTATTATCACATGGTGGCGTCCGTTGGGGCACGGTTTTCGATGGCCAACCCTTCGGCGTTGAGAGCCGAGCATTCCATGGCTCCTGATCTGTCCTCCGACCATTCCGTTTTCCGCGGTGGTTCCTCCTCCTCTCCTATCCGCCGTCGCGATCTCGTCTTCGTCGTCAATCCCCGAGGTTTTTCTTCCTTTTGTTTTTTTTCTCTCTTTTTACTTTTTGTTTGTTTGTTGAGAAAATCTTTTCCCTACCGAATTCTTACGCTTGTTTGAATGATGAATTTGGAGTAGGTGCTGATGGGAGAACCGGTAAAGAGTGGAAGAAACTGCTTCCTTATCTCCGATCTCGCCTGGCTAATGATTATAGCGTGAGTTTTCTTTTTCTTTTCGATTAATTTTTGCTCATTTAATTGCGCAATTCATTGAATCGTTCCTTTCTTCTTAGATGCCGTTTGGCATTAATTCTTTTTTTTTTTTTTGTCAAATGTGTTTTAGTACTCAAATAAGAGTTCAAATTATATTCTCTGTTTCTTTTTTGGGTGAAATTTCCAGCATCTATTCCAAATCTCTGTAAATAAAATTTGCTTAAACCAGGTTAGTTTATGTCGTGAAACTAATAAGAATATTTTTTTGTATGTTGTGGCAGATATTTGAGTCTTTGACTTCGGGTCCTTCTCATGCAATTGATATTACTAGGGAGGTAGGAATTAAGGGCCTCTTTTACATTTTTTTCAATTGAGACAATGATATTGAACTTGGTTTAGGTTAGCTATGGAAGACTTTGAGTTAATAGTCCCTATATTTATCGTGTAAGTTAATAGATAATGGTTTACAGGCTATAAGGGAGGGCGCTGATGCTGTGATTGCAGTTGGAGGTGATGGAACTCTTCATGAGGTGCAGATTTTTATTTTTTTTTTCATTTTAGCATATATAATCAAATATGGTTCTGATATACCACCAGTAATCTTATAGTATCTTTTATTTTCTCCTTTTTTTTTTTTTGTGTTTGCATACTTGTTTTAGAAGAGCAAATGATAAATTGACTTATCTATTTTGGCTTGTGATAAGCAGGTTGTTAATGGGTTCTTTTGGGATGGGAAACCTGTTGCTAATCAGAAGATAGAGGCTGTTCATTCAACTGCACTTGGTGTATGAATTACCATTAAGCTCTTTTTTTAAGCATCTCTCTCTCTCTTTGTTAGGATTGTGGTTAGGCTCTGATGAATGATAATCTTGAATTTATGTATTTCTTTCTCTTTAATCTTCATTTGCAAGCTGGAATTCTTTTTTGGATTGCTATTTTTTGCATTTTTCCAAAGAAGATATAACCATATTGTACCTTCTTGCAGCTCATTCCCTTGGGGACTGGGTCAGATTTTGCCCGAACATTGGGTTGGTTAGTTTGTGCTAATCCAGTCTGGATTCATTTGTTACCAACTTTTATGATAAGATTGCTTTGTCTCAAGTGTTTGTTGTTTTATCTTTTCTAAGGAAAAATGATCCCTGTGAAGCCATAGAACGCATTGCTAGAGGTATTTTACATGCCTCTTTCTGGATCCTTTTCTCCCCATGTTAATTTTTAGTAAATGCAAACTGGAGAAGCTTTTATTTTCTTAGGATTTGTTGATGCTGCTGTATCTTAGGGGTGAGATCACGAATTGACATTGGTATCATTAGCAGAGAAGGGGAAGCATCTCATTATTTCATAAATGTTGCTGATGTTCATCTGTAAGGTTAACTTGGTTATTTTTAGAATTAAGCCTCGATAAAACATAAGCTCATCTTTCTAGCCTCACTGCTGTCTTTTGTGGAGTTTTGCAGGAGTGCAAAGGCAGGTTATTATGCTTCAAGGTACAAGAAATTTGGCAACTTATGCTATGTTATTGGTGCATTGCAAGCTTTTATTGGGCATCATAACCAGGACCTTAGAATCAAGGTCAGCATTTTTAGAGGTCTGAAGATTAACAGTTCCACTTCTGAAAGTTTTCTATTTGCTGATCCACTGGGTTATCCACTGGGTTATGCTGTAGCCCTTATCATGATTATTTTCAGATGAGAGCTTTAAGAGTTTTGACTTCATAAAAATAATTTCACATCCAGGTGAATGGGGGTGAGTGGCAAAAATATTCTCAAGTGACAGCCCTCTGTATTGGAAATGCAAAGTACTTTGGTGGTGGCATGAAAATTACACCAAATGCTGATCCTCACAGTGGAAGTTTTGAGGTGAAATAGTTTTTCTGTTCATCTCACAATTTGATTTCTGGTTTTTGATAATTCTGAGGTGCTATGATGGTTTTTTTAAGTTTTGCTTTATACTTTGCAGGTAGTCATTCTTCAGGACTTCAAGTGGTATGACTTCATTCTAAAACTGCACAAGCTATACAATGGAACACATTTGTCATTGAAGAATGTGACATCAAGAAAGTAGGCGCTCTATCTTTTTGGTCTTGCTGCATTATTTAAGTATCCTTTCCACATTTCTTTTCCCTTTTTTCTGATTTAGGTGGGTTCTCTTTCAAGTAACTCAATTGTTCATAATCTTCTCTAACACTCTTTTTTCATGTTGGAATTATTCTCCTCCTAAACACTTAATCACCATTCTTGTTAGATGGTTTTCCACTCAAAGGTTATGGAGTCACAAAAAATTTAATTACTATATCAAGGTGTCAATGGTCTTTGCACGAAAGGAGCAAAGAAGGATTATATGCCGTCTGTTGAATTTGAACTGGAGCTTGATGTCATTTAGTTTTTTAGGCGGCAACCATCAAGAGATGGTATGCAATATGGTTGCTTACCATTGAAGCATTTTTCTTTTGTTGCAGCGTATATACAATCGAAGTAGATGACATTTCAGGCGGTGGCAGCATTTTCATTCAGTCTGATGGGGAACATTTAGGATTTCTTCCGAGGAAGTTTTCTATTCTACCTGCTGCTATTGAGATGATATGCTGACATGAACCCTGGAAAAACCGCTGTTCTTGATCCAAAACAATCCATGTTACCAATTTACTCTAAAATTATGCATCTCCATGCAAAAAGTTGAGTAGGACAAGCAAATAACGCCATCAACATAGTAACGGAGATATATGGGACAGAATACTGGCTGACAATGATAGGGATGAGTCATTGAGTGGGTTCCTTTTCTTTTTAGTATCTTTCCATTTGCTTACATTCAGTAAATTTTGAGACAAGCACAATCACTTATCGGTGCCTGGGAACTTGTTTTACATTTGTTTCGTGTAATTTGTTGTCTTGCCAATGTTGACATCACTTTTGTTACAATGATGTGCATTTTTATTACCGGGAACTTAGGTGCCTATAATCAAAAGTAATCTGAAAGGAGATTATAGTTGATAATTTCCGCCACATTCTCAATAGATAAATAGCCAAGAAAAGATGAATCCTCATGGGTGCTTCTGGTGGCAAGGGGTGTAACCTACCATAATCGAGCATATACAATTAGAAGTTTAAGATTGAGTTTGATTTGAAATTCGATCCGAATTTTGATTGACTTATAATTTTCAAACTTGAGATTAATTAGAGATAAAATTTAAGCGATTTAAGTTTACTCAATTAGGGTTTCAAACTTGATTATTTGTATTTAAATTTGAATTTAAACTTAAATTGATATATAAAAATAAAATAATAATTTTTTAATATAAATAATAAGAAATATATATATTAAACTATAAAAATTTTATTATACTCATCAATTACCTAAATTAAGTATTAAGATGTTTTAATTCGATTTGTTTGATAAATTAAATTATTTGAATTTAATTTAATATAATTGAGTCGAATTTAAATTTGTTAGAGACGAATTTAAGTAACTTATAAATATAAATATAAATATTGATGTATTATTTTAGCCCTTGGAAATAACATGAAATACGGAAACCAAGCGCCCAAGCCCTTGATCCATTGCCTTTAACGGTTTGAATTAAAAATAATTTCTGTTTACTGTCGTAATGACCTTTGTATTAATATTCTTACAAATTATTTTATTAGGGAATTTTAAAAATATTTAATTTATCTTTAAATTCTCTTACCATTATGCGATTAATCTTTCGAACCCGCATCTTTCTAGTCTACTGTCATACACGTAAAATGATGGTCGGGTCAAAGCGGGTTTTAAAACCCGTACCCGTCTACCATTTATATGTTGCCGAAGACCGTAGCAAAACCCCTCCTCTCTCTCTCTCTCTCTCTCTGGACTCTGCATTCTTCATCGATACGACATGGCGTTTCCGTACATGGAAGCTGTTGTTTGTACGCTCTTCTCTTTTTTATTCGCTTTTAAGCTTGAATCTACCCCTTTACTTCACAGATTTATTCTTACTTTTCTTGCTAAAACCTGTTTTTTTTTTTACTATTTCTCACGATATTAAAAGTTTCTGCTTACTTTTTTTTTTCTTAATTTTTTTCTGGTTTGGATTTTAATTATTCAAGGTTTACGCTGTCATCTGGGTTTTCCATTTTTTTTCTTTTGTGTTTTCCTGTTTATAAGTTTCTCTTGTTGTTCTTGAAATGAACTGCAAAGCGCTTCTTTTTCTTTTTCTTTTTTTTTTTTTTGTTAATTTTCATAGATTAGTTATAATATGCACACGAATATATTTTCTACTTGATTGCTAGTGATTGAAAAATCTAGGTTTTGAAGTTGGATTCTAAGCATCTTTCGAGTTATTTTTTTAAACATTTTTTACAAAGAGAATATGCGGAAATGAGTTAAATTATATCCACAATTTCGGTAAAATGTTCTGTTTAGTGATTGATGGTAGGGGCCATGGTCGATCGACTAACCAAGTAGCTTACATGTTGCAAGTAACTGTACAATTATGATGATGAAGCTTTTCCTATGAAAGAATCAAAATATGTTACTTGCACTTACGCCATGTTGAGACGTTTTATGTATTGAGTTCTTGGGTTTTAGAAATGATTGCATGCTTGTGTTTGTCTTGATATACTTATTTTGTTTGTATCTATTTCTTTACCGTTTATCTTCCTGTTGGTTGGTAAAAAACCTGAGGAACAGAAGTAAAAGGACAATTCCAAATCTTTAGGCTTATCTTGTTGCTGGAAACTGAGTGTTGAACTTATAACTCATTGGTTATGAGGTCCAATGATTTGTGAGAGAAAAAATTTCAATCTCTGAATATGTTTTCTTTTCTTGCAGTTCTCTGCAATGCAATCTGTTTGGCTTTCACTTCTTCTGTTTGTAAAGGCATATGTTGTGAGAAAATACATGGCATAGATTTTGAGACTTTTTCATGTCTCATTTATTTATGTTTTCGAAGACATTTGGCTTCTTGTGCTTTTCAGCCTGGTTGTTATGTCATTTAGAGTGTGTAAAAGTTCTCTGTCTCACTTACCCCTGTTGTTTACAGGTTTTATGATATTAATGTACTTCTTTGAGACTTATCTGGATCTGCGCCAACATGCTGCTCTCAAACTGCCAACTCTTCCAAAAACATTGGAAGGAGTAATCAGCCAAGAGAATTTTGAAAAGTCTCGAGCCTATAGTCTTGATAAGAGGTTGGTTTTGTTATTTCTATTGATAATTTACAAAACTTAATATCATTAGGGAACAGTCAAGCTTCCTTTTAACTTGACTCGACATTGTCCATGATGTCTCTCTCTTAAATTTCAGCCACTTCCATTTTGTTCATGAGTTTGTGACAATCTTGATGGACTCTGCAATTTTGTTCTTTGGTATATTGCCTTGGTTTTGGAAGGTGAGTGGCTAGGTGTTTAAGTGGATCCTCCCGTTTGTTGATTTTTTTTTTATCATATTTGTTTTTTTAATTGTTTTTTACTGCAGAAATCAGGAAATTTCTTGCCTTTAGTTGGTCTAAATGCAGACAATGAAATACTGCATACCCTTGCATTTTTGGCTGGTGTTATGATATGGTCACAGGTAAATTTATGATATTACCTTTGACTTCTGGATCCTCTAATACATATTCATTGCATTTGTGCAACTAATGATTTTATGTGATACTCCTTTAATAGTCAGATCAATTGCATTGACTGTTTCTTTTGTGATTTTTATTATGCAGATCACTGACCTGCCCTTTTCTCTCTATTCAACTTTTGTAATTGAGGCCCGACATGGTTTCAACAAAGTTGGTATTCTTAATCATAAATCTCTTCCCTTGCTGTTTTGTTTCGTTGATCACATTTTGTTTTGGAATGTTTGTAATTTTAAGATTACACTTATCTCACTGTTCGTAACTATTTTCCAATGTTTTTTTTCAGCAAACAATATGGTTGTTCTTTAGGGACCTTATCAAAGGAATGTGTCTTGCAATTGTACTTGGTCCACCCATTATTTCTGCTATTATTGTGATGGTACAGGTAAAATTGGTTACATTTTTAGCATTTGGTCTCTGTTGGAGAATATTACCGGTATTTGCTATAAGAAATTGAGAGTAATTGTTAGCTTAACTTAACTGCAAGTTTTTACTGCCTTATTTTCTCTCTGGTCTTTTTGCTATTATGTAATCCTTTTCACATTATGCTGAGTCTTAATTTTTGTGATTGCAGAAAGGAGGTCCGTATCTGGCTATCTACCTTTGGGCATTTATGTTTGTCCTTTCTCTTGTGATGATGACACTTTATCCTGTTCTGATAGCCCCACTCTTTAACAAGTTCACTCCTGTAAGTACTTCAAAATCAGTGTCTTAGTTTCATTCAAGCATCTTATTTTTCTGAAATCTAATGATTTTTGTTTTGTCTGGTATGATGTTGTGAGAAATAGCTCCCTGAAGGAGAGCTTAGGCTTAAGATTGAGAAACTTGCTTCCTCCCTCAATTTTCCTTTAAAGAAGTTGTTTGTTGTCGATGGATCCACAAGATCAAGCCATAGCAATGTAAGGATTCCACTCTTGTATTGTACATCTGTTGGTTCTCTCTCTGGATTCCTTTTTCTTCTCTATGCCCTTTTGATGTAAACTTTGGAATTTTTTTTTTCATATTGTATCACCTAGGAATAAATTGTATCCTTCTTTTGCAAAAACAAGTTATGGAAAGATTTGAACTGATAGTCTGGTAGTGATTACTTCACTCTTCTTACTTTAAACTCATGGCTGCTATATATGCTAGGAACAGTATTGTCATGAATTGGTTAATATGGTGGATGACAGTAAGGGATGCAACAAACTATATATATTTCAATTTGATAATATTCATAATTTCAATCGCACTGAGACTGATTTGCAGAAGTGCTTTCATCATCCCATTTATGATTCATTCTTTTAAACATCATGCAGGCCTATATGTATGGGTTCTATAAGAACAAGCGTATTGTCCTTTATGACACATTGATTCAGCAGGTATGGATCTAATAATAAATACAATTTTGTTGTCATCTATTTTGCTTATCCTTTCCTTTCTTTGGTAGTTGTTGCAACTTATCAGTGTCTTTGTGTTTTGATTCAGTTGGACGGTTAATATTATTGCCTATGTGCCTTGATAATTTTCTTCATTGTGAGGCACACAAGACCTTCCCAGAAGATAGATTTTTGTCTTCTAATCTTCAGTTCAGGGTCAATTTCTTTGCAATTCTAAACCTTATTTCTTCTCCTGTTGAACACAATGGCTTTTATGAGTCTGACAGTAATTTGTGCCTTTTGCGTTGTGCATGTTTTATTTTTAGAACAGGCATATTGTCCAACAATCTCAGGAGACTTGGAGTTTATTTTATAAATAATCTAATGCCTATGCTAGTAGATTTTCTCTCACAGCAAACAACTTTAGTGCTTATATATGACATTATATGTAAGTCAATAACATTTGTCTTGATTTTGATGACTCATTTTGACTTAACACAGAAAACTACCACAGAAAGCATTTTTTTCCAATTTATGGAGGGAGCTGTGCAAATGATAAATTATCTCCTAATTGCCTGTTTAGTGGATGCTCCCTTAACACTTAGGAAAGGTCTTATGTAATCAGGTATTTTTTTCAGTGCAAAAATAACGAGGAAATTGTAGCTGTTATTGCTCATGAGCTGGGGCATTGGAAGCTTAACCACACAATGTACTCCTTTATTGCTGTGCAGGTATGCTGTGGTTGTTCTCTTGTAAGCTTTTCTTCTATGGAGAAAAAAAAAAAAAAACTCTAAGCACTGTTTTTTTTATTTATTCTTTGAATGAATGAGGACCTTCTTATGACTATCTTATAGTATGTGACTCTTTGTTCAGGTTATAGTGTCACAGCAGGGTGTCATTAAACATGATTGATAAAGCAATTTTCTGTTAGAACATAATTTTTTGTTATTGTAAGTTTGAAGAAAAAGTTGTTTAGGTGTTCTTGGCGGCTAAGCTTACAGTTACTTTGGGCTCTGAGGTTGAAGCTCTCAAACCTTGTGATAGTGCTTATCAGCAAGATGATCCAATATCCATTCTCTGGCACTAATAGATATAAGGAAGATGAAATATCGAGACATGTCAATGAGTCACAAGTCAACTGCCTAAGCTGCAAAAGTAGCAATTTGCTACTTAATGTAAAACATGATCTATTAGTGGCTTGGTTGTCATGTTATGCTAGATTTGTCATATTTAATTAGAAGTGGGTGTTTCTAATTTCTTGCTTCAGTGACTAGTGTCTAATGCCCTACCTTTTTTTTTTTATGTTTATATCAATTGCAGATTCTTACATTTTTGCAATTTGGAGGCTATACTCTGATCAGGAACTCAACTGATCTTTTCCGAAGTTTTGGGTTTGACACACAGCCAGTACTAATTGGCCTTATCATATTTCAGGTACTAAAATATCAAAACAATGTACTGTCAATTGAAATACTAGTCTAATAATGGAATGTGCTCTATGCATAGCTAATCTCTTATCAAGGCTGTAGACACCTTGTTTAATCTGTTCCATGTAAATAGGATTGAAGGCTATGATTCATTGCATTGTTATTCTTTTATCATGGAATGGAAAAGAATCGTTTGCCATATAGCTGTTAACCATTTTCTCTGACGTTGTGATATGCAGCACACTGTAACACCAATCCAACACCTTGTAAGCTTTGGTCTTAATCTTGTAAGCAGATCATTTGAATTTCAGGTAACTTCTCTTTGCAGAGAATGATTGGTTTTTAGTTTTGGTGCGGTTCTCTCTCCCTCTCATTAATCTTCTTTAGATTGATATTAATCTACTGTATTTTCTTTATGTAGGCTGATGCCTTTGCTAAGAAGCTTGGCTATGGATCTGCTTTGCGTGCTGGTCTTGTGAAGCTGCAGGTGAATTTCTAGTGATTTTAACTTTCCTTTGAATTGGATTCTGCTACGCTATTTCAAATACAAAGTCTGCTTCATTCCCCTTAACTTCGTGCGAAATATTTCTAATAATAATTAGTAACTAGGACACGTAATTTGTGATATACAAGTATGCGAAACATTTCCTTCATCAATTCTTATCGCTTCTACTTTCTTCATGCTTGAGTTTCATATATTTCAGTTTTGTGATGGTTCCCTTGTTGCTAACTGATATTACATCGACATGTTATACAAGTAATATGCAAGGTTACTAAATTAGAGTTTTTCGTGTGTTTTTTCAGGAAGAAAATCTGTCGGCTATGAATACAGATCCTTGGTACTCTGCTTACCACTATTCTCATCCTCCCCTTGTGGAAAGATTGGCTGCAATTGATGAACATGACAAAAAGGAAGACTGATATGGAGGAGAAACATCTAAACTGGCTTTGGATTATTTCATTTCATTGTAATATTTCTTGATCTGTATCGAGTTGCATCCAGGCGCTAAAAAGCACACTTGTTAGTCAGAAACCTAGTTTACAGGAACTAAACAAAATAAAAAAAGGGAAGAGAAAGTGGTTGGAAAAAACATGGAATGCAACAAAAGCAAGCTTTGACTAATATGTTGTGTTCTATTTCTCCAGTCTTAAGAGTTTTGTCTGATCTGCAGGTCTATTTGAAAGTGGAAAAAAAAAAAAATCATGTTTTGGGGGAAATACTTAATGTATTATTACTATGAAAGTTGAAGCTTAATTGATGGTTTAAACCACTGATGTATTTTTAGATTCCTATGATAATTTGATTACCGTCATAATTAGACTTAAAATTTTGTCTACTTTTGTTATATAAAATATTACTAATTTGCGTATTCTTACTACAATTTACATGATTTTTTAAAAAAATATTTTATATAAAAAAGGTATTATAATATTTTGTTGACATAAAAAATATAAAAAATATTTTTTATTTTTATTAAATTTATATATAATTTATATTAAAATTTTAAATTATATTATTTTTTTATATATTTTTTCAATCATTTTTATATTATATTATTGAATTATGTTTTAAATTATTAAATATAAATATAATTATACGCCTCTATCATTGTTGAATAATAAAATCATAATACTATTACTAAAAGGCCTTTTTACGTGATTGTGAATGATAGATTGATAGTACAATAATGGTGCATATTCTTTGTTCCTAAAAAGCTTCTTAAAGAATACTGTCTTTGAAGCGGAAGCCCCACACAAAACACTTATAATAAATCATTTTCGAACCATTTTAACAGAGCTTTTTCTTAAACTAAGGTATTTAAAAATCTTTATTCTCAATGTGGGATACTTTTATTCTTTTTTCTTGAAACAGGATATTTTTATATTTAATTGCCATATAAACCCTTGACTTCTCCCCTTACCCTGTTTTTCCATCTTTTTTGTCTTTTTTCGCCTGCTTTTTTACCCAGACTGATAAAACCCAAAAACATGCACTACTTTTATTAGATTACCAAATCCTTCACAAAGCCAACCTTCAACACAATTCACTAAAAATTTATTAAATCTCACTTGAATCTAACTATCCTTTTCAAAATCCTCTCCACTAAACCACCCCAAAATGACCAAAATAATTCTAGGAATGATGGTTGGCAAACAGCTTGGCTCCCTGACATTTCTCTCAAGAATAGGGCCAAAATCATCTAAATAGAAGTAGAAAGAGGAAGCAAAAAATGAGAGGAAAAACGATGGTGGTGGTTTGTATAATTTGAAGAATTTGAAGAAAGACTATAGGTTGAAGAAACAGAGAATCCATATTGAGTTTTTAGTTCATGTTGTTATTATTTTTTTTAAAACTAAATGGGTTAAACTTGGAAAATATATTTTTCCGTGTCGATCTTTATGTTAAAAAAGTGCAGTTGAATTGTTTTGCTTCATTGCTTAAAAGAATGTAATTTGTCAATTGAGTTTAGCTTGAAGGCTCAGCTTTGGTTTAATCTGTTAGCAGTGTTTGAGTTGTCAAACGTAAAATTAAGACTGAAGTTCAATAAATAAGGCAACTGAGAAATGAAAGAAAAAATGGAAGGAGAAAGAAAACCCTTCAGCGAGAAGTCAAGCACGTTTACATGGCAAAAATTATCCTTTTTTAAGGAATAAGAATAAAAATACCCCATTTTAAAAATAAAGATTTATAAGACAAAACTCCATTTTGACATCCCATTATGTAGTGCTTGAATCTCAACTATTTTTCTTCTCTTTTCCTTCTCATCATCGAATTTCTGAACTCCTTTTACGTGGGTCCTACTCAAGGTTGCTTCGACGCACACGCCACATGAAGATCTGATTATTTCGAATTGATCTTGAACGTTTAATGACATACACCCCCTCCTTTGAAAAGCTTAATACATCTGCATGTGTCCTATAATTTCCCTATAACGGTCATCGCCGACTCAAATTTATCCACACTTTTTGTCCAAAATAGAAAAAAAGAGAAAACAAAAGGACAATCTCGTCATTTCAGTTTGTTACACAAAATCTGTAAGTCAATTCCAGCTAGACATTGCACAGTAAGGAAAAAAAAAAAAAAAAGCCAGAGGCAATCTTGTTTAAAAGTACAGAAGATAATAAAAGAAGATTTGCGGTAGTGGCGAGCATAAAAAAAAAAAAAAAACACTCTCTTCTCTTTCTCTCTGTTCCCATTTTGCTTTAAATATTCGTTTGATTCTTTTTCTTTTCTCTTCGTGTTTTTGATTCCGATTAAAACGTCATATTCCCGGCGAAGCTTATGTAGCCGGAATCTTAAACTGTTTTGGAAAACGGAGAAAATCCCCCTCCAAAAAAAGAAATGTCTGTGTACGACGCGGCATTTGTTAACACGGAGCTATCAAAGCCGACGTCGATTTTCGGGTTAAGACTATGGGTAGTGATAGGGATTCTTCTTGGTTCACTCATAGTCTTGACTCTGTTTCTTTTCTCACTTTGCCTCACAACACGCCGCAAATCTCGCAGACATCAACACCTAGACCCCACTCCACCAATCTCCAAAGAGATCCAAGAAATAGTCCAACACCCGCCCGCACCAGATCTCCACCATAGCGCCCTTCCGGTGCCGGAGATTCAAGTGGACTTGGGAAAAGTGGAGCACAGAGTGGTGTTCTCCAGTGGGGAAAGTAGAGGGCCAACGAGTGCGGGTGCGAGTGAGACGGCGTCGTTTGGGAGTGGAAGTGTGGGGCCGGAAGTGTCTCATCTTGGGTGGGGAAGATGGTATACTTTGAGGGAACTAGAATTAGCCACCAATGGATTGTGTGAAGAGAATGTGATTGGTGAAGGTGGTTATGGAATTGTCTATCGTGGCGTTTTAACCGATGGAACTAAAGTTGCTGTCAAGAATTTGCTTAATAACAGGTGCCCCACTTTTTATTTTATTTAATTATGGCTTTTTTGGGTTAATAGGTATGCGATTTTAAGAAATTAATGTTCATTTCAGGATTCTCTATCTTTGATTTGGTCAGTTTTGTGTTATAGTAATTAGTTTCAGCTTAATTTGATTGCTAAGAAACTAAGATCTTTTTCCTATTATGGAATTGATAAATTCATGCAATAGTTAGCTGCTTCATTTTTTTTTTTGTGTGTTTTTAAAATTCTTGCCTTGTGTTGGTTAGAACTTGTGCTGTAAAGTCTAAATAACACTGCTTTTTGAGGAAAAGAACTCATAATTAGGCCTGGATGATAATGTTTTCTGTTAGACTTTTGTGGAATCTTTTTTTTTTTTGTCTTCTTTATTACTTTTTTGTTATAGATTTACGTTTCATCAAAGTAATCAATCGATCCTTCAGGGGTCAAGCTGAGAAGGAATTTAAGGTGGAGGTGGAAGCAATTGGGCGTGTACGACACAAGAATCTTGTGAGATTGCATGGGTACTGTGTTGAAGGTGCATATAGGTAGTGCAATAATCTTCCACTTTGAGATTGAGGGCTTCTTTTTTCTACTCTGTTATGAATAGTGTAAAGAGAAGTGACTTATCATCTGGGTTTACTGTTCAGGGTGCTTGTATATGAGTACGTTGACAATGGCAATTTGGAACAGTGGCTCCATGGCGATGTTGGGAATGTCAGCCCTCTTACATGGGATATACGTATGAATATCATATTGGGAACAGCAAAAGGGTACATCTGTTAGAATCGTATTCTTTGGTTCATGTATATTTGTTTATAAATTCTCTATTGATTTGTGATGGTTCTCATTCTGGTTGTTTATTGCTTTATTGTTGCAGTTTAGCTTACCTTCATGAAGGTCTTGAACCAAAGGTTGTCCATCGGGATGTAAAATCTAGCAACATCCTACTTGATCGCCAGTGGAACCCCAAGGTTTCCGATTTTGGGCTTGCTAAACTCTTGTGTTCTGAGAGGAGTTATGTGACAACTCGAGTGATGGGAACATTTGGGTTGGTTGATTTCCATTTTTCAGAATTGCACCTTTTTTTTACTTTAATTAAAGATTAATCATTATGAACGCATACATGTTCATTAACTGATGCTGTGTAGTTTGTTAATCTAAAGTGGGAAAATCACTATTGTTTTCTTAATTTCCAGCTATGTTGCTCCAGAATATGCTTGTACTGGAATGCTGAATGAGAAGAGTGATGTCTATAGCTTTGGTATTCTTATTATGGAGATTATTTCTGGGAGAAGTCCTGTTGACTATAGCCGACCACAAGGAGAGGTTAGATTTATTAAATTTCCTTCTTCAGTAGTCTAGTGTCACAGCTTCTAATGTTGCTAAGTTGGAAATGACTGAATAATTGCAGGTGAATTTGGTGGAATGGTTAAAAACCATGGTTGGAAACCGAAAATCTGAAGAAGTAGTTGATCCTAAGTTACCTGAGATGCGTATTTCAAAAGCACTTAAACGTGTACTATTGGTTGCTCTTCGATGTGTTGATCCTGATGCAACAAAGAGGCCAAAAATGGGGCATGTTATCCACATGCTTGAGGCTGATGATCTCCTCTTCCATGATGTAAGCACCATTTGCATACTATCACATTATTTTCTTCACAAAACGATCTAAATTACCTTTATCTTGTTTTGTAGGAACGTCGAATTGTAACAGAACCTTCCAATTCACATTCCAGTGATCAGCAAACAAATCGCAATGCTAAAAAATTAGGTGATAGACAATTTGATGGGGCCTCAGCTTCCGATACAAGTGAAGGTGATAGCGGGCGGAACCATCACCAGCCATCTAGGTGGAGATAAGGCTATCAACATTAGGTGACTAACAAATTTAAGCCTCTTTTAAGTTTTTGAAGCTTTTTTTTCTTTCTTTATTTATTTTTCTATTAGTTCCCCAGTATTTTGTTGTATCTCCAATTATGAGAAAAGAATAATCTGCATTTATTTTATGTTTGGATGAATTTGTATAAATTGATGAATTCATAACTCTTATACCAATTGTAATTGATTATCTTGATTTGTTTGAAAGTAAAAAACTTATATTAGGATCACGATAAAAAATTAGTTTTCCTATCAATCTTTTCTTCTGTTTGAAGATCAGTTAGATATTTTTTTCCCCAAAAACTTTGCCATGGTTTTTGCAATGCCTGGCTTTCCAATTCTCAGCACCATCATTGTTAACCCTCAAATCAGATGGCATAATGGTCGTGGACCATTTATTCTGATATTTGCATCTGCATCTGCATCTGCATCAGTGCCAATTCCAACATCGGATGGACCCAGCAACAGGCTAATTTGATGGAAACGGCCTCTTTATTCATGTGGCTTTTTCTAATCCCTGTTGCCTTGGTGGAATTAGTCCATCTTGCTACGAAATACAGGATGTTTGTGTTGGCTTATTAGATTGGTTTCACCATCAATGCCAGAGCATGCTTTCGACCATAGAGCCTAATAACGACATTTGGCATGATGGAGTTAAGCTGGTTTTGCATGTTTCTGGTGGGCCCCTTTGCCTTTGGTGGCATTTCGACAAATCTTGGTTGGTTTCATACTTTGATCATCTCGCGGGACCTGGTCTTATCCAAATGTTCTATTGAACCTGTCTTCTTATCCTGTTTAATCACAACTATTCGACTACTTGTCCTTTTGGCTCGTTGGCCCCTTTCTTTTATCAAGTAATGTTCTTTAGGTCTGTTTCGATTCTTCAGCCCTTCATCCACAGCTAAAAACTAAAAACTCCTTCATTCCCTCGACTATGTTACGAACTGACACTTTCTCATTTCATAAATGTTATTCGGTTTAAACCATACTTTAAAGTCGAAACTTAAAAAAAAAAAAAAAAGCTTGTTATAATGATTAAGATATGTAGGGTTTGCGGGCAGTTATGGTTAAACAAAGTCTTAAATTACTTGACGCATTATCTAGCTTGTGATCTAAATTTGGTGTGCTATCATGTGATGTTTGAATGGTTATGGGGAAGCGAATTATTTTGCCAATAAACAATTAGAGGGACGAGACAACGATTTTAATGTTCAAAACCCTTTGCAGGAGACATAGGCAGAGCTTATCTGATGAATTATGAGGTTATTGTCTCTGACTATAATCTATTGATATTTGCATCCAAAAAGGCATAGATTTTCATTTTTTTGTTCTTACTTTTCATAGTTACTGATCTTAATACTATAAATTGCCATTCTTTTATACAGTAAGTTTAGAGTTTAGATACTAATATGCATTGCCAATTCAGGCAAACTTCTTTGGATAGTAATTTACGCATTCAGTGGAACTAAAATAAGGGGTTCGTTTTAAAATTTTACACGTGATTGTGTGTACGGCAAAAATTGGTTGTCGATGGATGTAAGTGACAAATCTTTCTTGAAATTCACGGCTTAATTTGTACAAAATCTTTTTTTAATTTGATTTTGGATCTGCTGATAGAAAAACTTCCGGATGACTGACCTTGAATTGAGATTCGAGTCATCATTTTATTTTAAATGATTAGTTGAGTTAAATTATTCATTTTTAAAGTTTAAATTCGATTTATAAATTTAATATAAATTTTTGTTGAAACATATGATATATTTTTATTATAAAATAATGTAACTTTTTTATTTAAATTTTTTCTTATCAAAAAAATATAAAATAAAAAGTTATGCATCAATTATTAAATAAATATTGGGATGCTTAAATTGTTTTTCCTTCGTACTACAATATTATTTGTATGTTTTCAACTGAGCAATTTTCAAACGGCTCTAATTGAAATAACTTAAATTTAGCCGTCAGTGAGTATCATTCTTCTTTGTCAAGATAAAGGTTACAGTTTGAAATACACTAAAAATAAAAGTGACAATGAAAGAATCATTGATTAAGGGAACGAAAATGATAAAATGAAAAGAATGCACTCTTTTATTGCTTTATTCTCCAGAATCTTCACTGTGGATTGTCGTTTCATCCTTTGCAAATTCGTTTATGATTTGTGAACAAAAAGAAGAAGAAAAAAAAAAAAAGGTAAGAGACAAGGTGCGGCGATCCTGACTAAAGCCGTGCTTCAATGGCTAACCCAAAGAACCTACTCCAGCCGCTAAGCTTCACTTTCAATTTTGAAGCAACCCATAAAAGGGTTTCGCTTCCTCCGTATGTACAGTACTCCTTAATAATAATAAATTATAAGCTTTTATTATAGTTTCCACGGCAGCTTATTTATATCCGTTGGATTTGCGCCAAGTCCTGATTGATTTTGGTCGTTGAAATAGTAAACGGGTTATAGGGCTGACGTCTGGGCCATTGGAAAAAAATCCAAGCCGACGGCGCTTTGATAATGTAAACGGAATTGACAAAAAGAAAGACGAAAGAAATTCTGCTATCCGTTATCTAATGTCTCCATTCATCGTCCTCCACGTATACATTCTGTGACCGACGGCCCGTAACAGGCAGTGAATCCATCAACACTCTCCATCTTCACCTACTCCACAAAAGGAGAAAGACAACCCAACCGCACCTTCCAGATATGAAATTTCAACGCAGCCCAAATACACCACACGTTTGAAGCATTCACCGAAATTTCCCAATCCCTTACGGACGCTAAGTTAGGTACAATCCCTTCTTTTCTACCTTTTCAAGTCGCCGATCTTTGTGCGATTCTGAAGAAACACAAATCTTTTTCACCTTTTTCAATAATATTTTTTTTTTAATTTTTGTAGATGGAGATTATTAGTTATTGATTCTTTTTTAGGTTTTGATTTGTGTTTTTATCTTCAGTTCTTAACAATCTGTGGAGAATTTTTGTCTCTGCTTGGATTCACCAGTAGTTTGCTCTAACGATCTAAAATTTAGGTAAGTTCTTTTTTTTTTTTTTTTTTGGTATATCTACTTTTAGATTTGTTTGACTTTATGTCTTTTGATATCTTTTGTTTTAGATTCTGTTCAGATTCATCAGATCTGGTTTTAGTTTATGTGTTTTTCACTTTGGATGTTAAAGATTTGTGTTTAAAGATGTAATTTTTAGTGTTTCTTTGAAATTTTAGGTTTAGCAATGATTTTAATTTGTGTAGAAATGACTTAGCTGTTTCCCTGTATAAAGTTGACCTAATATTCAAGGAGAAAATCACGTGGAATTAAAGCAAAGATAGAGTGGATAACCGGAGAGGAAATGAAGGCAATTGAGGAGATCTGGGTATACTACCTAGATTGCTTTCTTTCCATCTCTCCTTGATTTTTGGTTACATCGAATGTTTCACATGTATTCTCATGATTTTGGTGTTGAATTTATGTCCTTCACTGCCGTCAATCATTTGGTTGAAAATTCAGCTTATCTTATCTATATCGATGATTATGAGGTATTATTTGGTTAGATCTGCTGCGTACAGTATTGAAAAAATGTGCAAGTTAATTTCCCTTTTGATTAGAAATGAGAGGAAGATATAGGGAGGAACACCCCAGTTATTGCATATTATTGCGGGGATGATAATTTTAAAGCTTTGCTGTGTTTTTGTATGTTATAAAGATAATTACTTATGGAAACTTTAGGGTGTTTGATGTCTGTCATAATCCATGGAATTCTTATCATGATTTATTTTTGAAGTCTGGATTTCATGATGATTTGTGAGTTTGTTCTTCTGGATCTTGCAGTAAATACATTAAAATGAGTCGTCCTCAGGAGCCACATCGCCCTTTCTTTCATTTTGGAAATCTTTTCCGTAACATATCACCCAAGGGTTCTCAGTTGTCTCCTAGACTTCTTTCTTTATTGAACGCGTTTGAGGCCACCTTGTCAGAGAGGCTGCAAAAACTTGTGCCAAAAGACAAGGATGACATCCTTAGCTTGTCATGGATGAAACTAGCCATGGAGTCAGTTTCTGAGATACACTGTGACATAAAAAACCTGATAACCGAGCTTGAGCTCCCTGTGACAGATTGGGATGAGAAATGGATAGATTTGTACCTAGATATCAGTGTGAAGTTGCTTGATATTAGTATTGCTTTTACCTCTGAGCTCGCACGGCTCAGCCAAGGCCATCTCTTGCTTCAGTGTGTCTTGCATAAGTTGGAGTCAAACTCCCCGGACCAGTTCATGCGATCTTGTTCCTTGCTTGATAGCTGGAGACAGCACATTGGCTCAAAAAATCCAAGAGTTGAAACTTGTCTGCCAATCCTGGACAACCTTGTGGAATCATTAAACTTGCCTAAGGTTAAGAACTCTGCTAAAGGAAAGGTGTTGATGCGTGCAATGCTTGGAGCTAAGGTGGCCACTGCATATATCTGTAGCGTCTTTGCTGCAGCATTCTCTGGTTCTGGCAAGAATTTGTTAGATTTAACTGTTCCTGATACGCTACCATGGGCACAAGTTTTTTCTCATGTGCAAACTACTGTTAATGCAGAAATTAGAAATATATTTTCCTGCGGAAAATATACAGTTCTAAGAGAACTAGATTCCGTTGATGGAAGTGTCAAGAAATTGTATCCTTTGCTCCAAGATGGGTTGGGTCCTATTGAAGGGGAATCATTCAAGAATTCTGTTTCAGATTCTGTAGAACCACTGTAAGAAACTGTGCAGGTAGATAAGTTCAAATAGTAGAAGCTTTGTTCAAAATAGTAATGAGGCGTGATGCTTTGCTTTGTAATCTTAGAGCGGGTGGTGATGTCCCAAATTTAATGCTAGGAAAAAATGTAGAAGAGCAAGTTGTAAGGTGAATCATGAATATAATGAATAAGCTCCTCTCTATGCATATGGTTTAGGTATGAGTTCTGACATGTAGACATATACAACCATGTTTGGGTTATGCTAGTATGTGTTGTGTGTGTTGTAAGGTGTGTTACAATACTAAGTTACTTGGTTGTACACGTATTCGTAATATCCTTTGTCAAAAGTTATATATAAAGGGCTCATATTTGTTTGCAAATGTTCAGTACTTATCAATGTAATCACTATCGATTATCATCCCCCTAGGATATCAGTTATTGATGTTTAGAATATCTTTTGTGTGTCTATTGCTACTCTTAAAGTGGAAAAACATTGATGAATCTTTCTGTATGATTAAAGATAGGTTGTGGGTTGCAGGAAAAAGTCAATTCCCATGTGTTTTCCCGTGCAGTTTACCCATCTGATATGGATTCGGATGACCAACCAACACGTATGATGGTAACTAAATCTTTTATAGTCAGGAAAGTCGTTGGAATTTTCAAATTTATCAGATTTGGTGAAATTTACAATTTGATGTTCAATGTAGATGGTATCGTGGAAGTGGCAAGTGAAGCGAGAAGGCATTTTCGTGGTACGCTATTTACTTTAATCATAGACTAACCGCCGTCCATGACATGGTGGCTAACGCTTATTGGTCCTTGTCTTTATGCCATCGGCGCATGGCTTTCTGCATCGAGTCAAAAGACTCGGAGCCCAACTTGGATGCTATTATAAGGCCTTGGGTTTATGGCTGTGGATTTAGGAGTGGCTTCCGATTTTGGAAGACCTTGTAAGGGCCCCAGAGACCTAGCTTCCATGACATCTTTTCAGCTCTACTCTTTCCCGTTACGAGTTTTTTAATCGGAAATTATCAAATTACTAATATTAAAATTATTTTACGATTATTTGCAGAGGAAGCTTTTTTACAGGACTGTTTTATAGAACTGATGCTAGGTAAAATTGAAGGCCTTAAAGTGAATATTTAACCTTAAAATTTAAGTTTTAATATTCAGATATCATAATAAAAAAGATATAAATAATTTCAGATTCATCATAGAAAGAAATTTGAATATTATTATAAAAAAAATATAATTCAAGTTTTAACATTCGAATATTATTGTCAAAAAATACAATTAATTTTGGATATCGTCACTAAAAAAAAATTTGAATATTACCATTGAAAAAATACAATTCAAGCTTTAATATTTAAATATCACAATCGAAAAGATATAAATGATTTTGGATATTGTCACCAGAGAAAACTTAAATATTATTATCAAGAAAATATAATTTAAATCTTAACACTTAGAATATCATTACTGAAAATATGTAAATAATTTTAGATATCGTCATCAAAAGAAACTCGAATATCACTATTAAAAAAATGTATTGCTATAAAAGGAAACTCGAATATCATCATTGAAAAATATCATTCAAGGTTTAATACTCGGATATTATTATTGAAAATATGTAAATAATTTCAGATATTATCGAAAAAAACTTGAATATCAACATTGAAAAAATATAATTCAAGTTTTAACACTCGAGTATTACCACTAAAAAAAATACAAATAATTTTGAATATCGTCACAAAAAAATTTTAAATATCACCATCATAAAAATATAATTTAAATTTTAATATTTAAATATCATCATAAAAAAAATGTAAATACAGCAAGCAATCAAGTTGTTATTAGTGTCAAGTAAACTATTGCACGAGCGTGCAACCGGCATGATATGGTCGAAGGTGGTCAGTGACATCAGGAACTCTGGAATTGGACTTCCTATATTATGCCAGAGCCAGACGTGGAAGAAAAAACTAAAATACAAGTATGATCCAAATTCCTTTACTTTGCCAATCTGCATCCACTCAGAATCGCTGAGAAATTGCCTCCACCTTCTTCATGCAACTTTTCTGCGTTCACCAGGCGCTGAGTTTTGAAGGCCATTTTTTTTAAAGGAACTTTAACTATTGATTTGCAAGACTTGACCCAATATTTCTGTGGAAAATGATTCTAATGAATTCTAGAATAACTTTGACCATTAAGACTTAGACAAATCTTGTCAAAAAGTTTATTAAGACTTAGATAAATCTTGTCAAAAAGTTTTCTTAAAGCAGGTTTGTTCTGCAAACTGATAATTAGAATGGTCAAAGCATGCTAGTTATCATATTTCATAAAAAAATAATGAATGATTTTTAAATTATAATGAAATATTTAATATAATATTTAAATATTTAAAATTTTTAATATAATATTTGAATAATGAATATATTAATTAGAGAAGAGATTAAATTATAAAATTTTTTTATAATTATTATAAGTTTTAATTAGTAATTTTAATAAATTTAAAACAAAAGATATAAATAAAAAATAATTTAATTTAATTTTTTAAATTTATTAAAATCAATAAATAAAAAATATGATATTAAAAAGTTTTATATCATATAATTTGATTTGTTTATTAACTAATGATATTTAAAAAATTATTTATTATCACATTTTATTATTTAAAAAATATCTTATCAATTAATAATAAATAATTTTAATATTATCAAATATCTCATCATTCGTTACATTAACAAATTGAATTGGCAGTTGAAGGATTCATTTGGCTTCCCCTGCCATCATCAAGGGGGCTAGCCACCTTGTTTCTATCTATCTATCATCTACCGACTTCAGCGGTTCGACCCCGCATTATTATAATGCAATAATTCCAACTTTGAATATAATAATTTAAATCTGACACATCAAGAAGTACGAAATGGGCCCCCACAAGGAAATTTTCCACCTCGTAAAAGGATTAAACATCAACATTCTACCATAGAAAATTCACAAAATTTGCCTTGGAGTTTCTAGTTTCTAACGTAAATCCTAACTTCTTGACTTGGAGTTTTGTTTTGTCCCACGTCGCCAATCGGAAGATACTCCGAAATTTGGAGGGATTTCATATTAAAAGATGAAGATGTTATGCTTCACAGCATGGCTATCTATCAGAAAGAAATAAGATAATAGTAATACTAGTTTCAGTTTTAGGTCAAATATATTTGTTAGACCTGATCTAACCGTCATTTTGACTAGGAACACGAGATCAACAACAACTTTGGCTATCAAAGGTTTAGACAAAATTCACCTCTTACCCAGAAAAAGAATTCAAAATTTTACCATGGGCAAAGGCAGGCGATTGCTTAGAAACCTGTAAGAATCCTTGTAGTTTCCTTGGAATATTTTAAAATACGCGTTTCTCTTGAAAGCCATCAACAGAGAGATTAGAGGGAAATTTAGAAAGAAAATGAAAGAAAAGAGAGAAGGAAGGTGTATCTGAAAGGTGGAATCTTCACGGGTGACTCAAGCTTTTCCAGTTCAAAAGGTTCACACTCATCTTTGAAAATAATATTACAAGCAAAACCCAAGACGAAATTAAAAAAAGAAAAAAGAAAATAGTAAGAGGGGAACTTTACACCTAACCACACGCTCTCCCAAAATTTAGCCCTCATTTCCTTGCCCTTTTCCTTCTCTTTCTCTCTGAATTTTAGGTGTTATTGTTGCAGAAAATCTTTCTTTGTTTCGGGTTGGAGTTGGGTCCGGGTTATCCAAAATTCGGATCCGAAAGCATGTCAATAGAGTCGAGCTGTGGGTCTGGGGATCACAGAGTGAAAGGAATACCAACTCATGGTGGACACTATGTTCAGTACAACGTTTATGGTAACCTCTTCGAAGTTTCCAGAAAATACGTCCCTCCTATTCGCCCCGTTGGCCGTGGTGCTTATGGTATTGTCTGGTAAGATTTTTTTTCTTTTTTCTTTTTAACTTCTTTTTCTTTTGACTTTGTTTCGATTAAAGTTACCCTTTTGATTTAGTTCTTGTTTATTTCATGATCTGAGTTTGTCTTAGTCTTGAGGTTCTACATGATAGTTTTTCAAGAATTCAAGATATGATGTACATTTTTTTGTTGTTGTTAGATTAAGTTTCTTGATTTTAATAAGTTATTTACATGTTTTGATTGGAACTTGATAATATTAAGGCCTGTATTTTTAGATTATCTTTTCAATTCAGATTAAAGATTGTTATTGACTAGGATGATAATACAAGCTAGGTAGCTGTTCTTTGTTTCTGTTCTGTTTTTTTTCTTTGTTTGAGCGCATTGTAATCACACTTCCTGGTGAATTTGTGATTGACCTTTGCATTTATGGCAGATAGGATTGTGAGTGATTGATACTTGAGTATGGCTGTCATTAGCATTTTTAGATGTATTTTGCTTTGTGATTGATTTAATTAAAAAATTAAGCTGCCAAATTTAGGGGTCCCATTGAAGTGAATTACTCTAGGGCCTAACTTCCTTCTGAGGCGATTGAAATAATGTGAAGCTAAGATATGATCCCCCCCCCTCCCCTTTTTTCCTTAGTGCTGCTGTGAATTCAGAGACACGGGAGGAGGTTGCTATCAAGAAAATTGGTAACGCATTTGACAACAGGATTGATGCCAAAAGGACATTGCGAGAGATCAAGCTTCTTCGTCACATGGATCATGAGAATGTAAGTTCCATTAGCTTAAGTTGATAGACCCCTAATTATTAGTTTCCTTGCTTACCACAATGGTCAGGTTGTTGTGGCCCTCTAAACAATCCGTGGAAAGGGAACAGTTCCTTTCTTTCCATCATGTAAGGCTTTGACCATCCTTTAGAAAGGGAAAAAAACAATGCCATATTTTTGTCCCAATTTATGTAATTATAGGAATTTGGGCTAACCTTCCTGTTGATTTGAGTTCCCTGGGAAGATCATCTTTATACCCAAGTAACTTTTAACCATTGAGCAAGGGCCAGTCATATGATATTGTGCGTAAACCTTCTATTCATTTGCATGTTAGAAACTCTATCTAACCCAACTTTTCCTAAATCTTGTAGAAAATGTTGTTATTAGTCTTTTTATTCTTTGATGAAATTGGTGGGCATTTGATTTTGCCATGTGAACATGACTAACTAAATTTTCATATTAGATTTTTTTTTATTAATGCTTTTATCATTGCAACCAACAGAGGACAGGTTTTGTGTTAGTTTCTTACTCTTAGGCTTGGGTAATAAAGTTCCTCCGCTTGGTGTATCTGCATCTTAATAATGACATGAGATTCTTCTAAAGTAGTTAATCCCTGATTGTGGAATTATAATTTAATCGGTCCTTTTTTTCTTCAGGTGATTGCCATTAAAGACATCATACGGCCTCCACAGAGGGAGAACTTTAATGATGTCTACATTGTTTATGAACTGATGGACACTGATCTTAATCAAATCATACGATCCAACCAATCATTGACAGATGATCATTGTCGGGTTGGTTTCAAATGCTTTTCCCTCATGTAAAATATGCTGGGATTTTCCTACTGTTTGTTGTCCTGTTTAATTAGAAACATAGTATGATTTCTGTTTAGCATCTTTGAAGCTGGAACCATTGTTGATTATGCAGTCTACTCTTGCAGTACTTTCTCTATCAGGTTTTACGTGGGCTCAAATATGTACATTCAGCAAATGTTTTGCATCGTGACTTAAAGCCCAGCAATTTGCTTCTGAATGCAAATTGTGACCTTAAAATTGGGGATTTTGGGCTTGCAAGGACAACATCTGAAACTGATTTTATGACAGAATATGTAGTTACTCGTTGGTATCGGGCGCCAGAATTGCTTCTGAATTGTTCTGAATACACTGCTGCAATTGATATTTGGTCGGTGGGTTGCATACTTGGTGAAATGATGACTAGACAACCCCTCTTCCCTGGCAAAGACTATGTGCATCAGCTGAGGCTTATCACAGAGGTATGTTTTCTAGAATTTTCTCACAAGAAACTAGCACAAAGCTCTTTAGATGGCCCATTGCTGTTGGCCTTTTCATTGTGAGATTCTTAGATGTATTTTGCTTCCTTAGTGAAATTGCATAGTCTTGACTTCTAACAAGGAGGTCAAACCGGCAATATTCAGGGCCTTCTAAGACATGTTACCTCTGAACAAGTAGGTTAGATAGTTCAGCATTTAGGCTGTAAGGTCTAGATACAAAATCAAAATCTCCCCCCTCGTTTTGACTCTCCTCCCTCTTTTACCTTTGCTTGGTTAGCTGTTTGTAATTCTGTAAAATTGACATGGACTCTGCATTCGCGTGCAATCTTTATTTGCTTGTTCTTTTATTAGTGGTATTCCGTTGACAATCGTGTCCTAAGAAATACTGGAGATATTTTTCCTACCCCAGAAAACTAAACAGAGTTCTTCTCGAGGCATAGAGGTTTTGCTTATCTTGATGGAAGTTGAATGAAGTATGCTAAATATGTACATAATTTCCTTTTCCTTGGGATAGCTTATAGGTTCACCTGATGATTCCAGCCTTGGTTTCCTTCGAAGTGACAATGCCAGAAGATACGTTAGACAGCTTCCACAATACCCAAGGCAAAATTTCTCTGCTAAATTTCCTAACATGTCACCTGGTGCTGTTGATTTACTAGAGAAGATGCTTATTTTTGATCCCCATAGGCGCATTACAGGTATAATTAGTTGCTGATTTCTTTCTGCTACTTCACAGTAACTTGTGATACATTTAAGATTCCGATAGTTCTAAGTTTATTTTAAGAAAAAGTTGCTATTTTGTGCTTAATTTTGAACAACCATTGGGATATTTGCATGGTGCTTATACTTTAAACCAAATCACCCTTTCTGTCCACCTTTCCCTACCCATTTTTTTCTTCTCCACCACCTTAAGATCCCTTTTCTTCATTTGCTAACAACCTTATATTTGTTTGTTGCAGTCAATGAGGCTCTATGTCACCCATACTTGGCACCTCTTCATGACATCAATGAGGAGCCTGTTTGCCCAAGGCCTTTCAGTTTTGATTTTGAGCAACCATCTTTTACTGAAGAAAATATCAAGGAGCTTATCTATAGAGAATCTGTAAAGTTCAATCCAGGCCCAATTCATTGAGGATTATGTGTCCTATATACCTGGAAGTGTAGCCAGTGGCTCTAGTTTCCTGCAATATATGTAGGACGCATCAGTCCCTTTATTAGAGAGTTAACGACACTCTTAGAATACTTTTTAAATAGAATGAGAGTTTATTCAACTTTCATTTCACATCTCTTGCTGCCTGCAGCATTTGAATTTGTGAGGACTTATAGCGTGATATTCCCTGCTCTTCAGAATGAGCTTCAACCTCTAGTCGGAGGGGGCTCTTCCTTTAACTGTAGAGAGATTATTTATTTGAGCCAATGATACTGTTTTCAAGCAGTTTTACATCCATATACGAGAGTGCATTTACTTTATATAATATAATGTAACCCCTCATAAGATAATTAAGAAACAGAAACATTGAGGACAGGCTCAAAAGCTCCCAACTACTAGAACTCTGACTACATCTAGTAACAGGCTTAGTTTTACTTTGCTAGTATCAGTCACTAATAATTCACCCTATAAGTGCAACTTTTGAGCACCACCTTATCAATGGACAATTGCTCTGCCGGAAAGTCGCACTCTCTGAGTTTCTCCGGCCCTTGATCGGGTAATAGGTCACATGGCCGAGGACTTACTCCACTTGTGATCCCCTCAACGTCAGTGCAAGTCCATTGGACCTTCTTAGCCTTTGCTGCCATTCCAATTGTGGCATTGGAGATGCAGATTTGGGTAAATGGATCGCCTTCAATTCCTTCCAGTCTGGCCGCCATTGACACATTATCTGCTACAATGTCTCTATAATTGATCCCCTGAATCACCGGCAATGCATTGGGATCATAGTGATTATCAGCATGTGCTTTATAGTTTCCTGTCATCCAAAACACCCATTTCATGGTATGCAGAGTCATTCTTTTCACGTATATGTCTTTAACGAATCCACCTCTTCCTCTAGCAGTCTTGATCCTGACCCCAGATTCTGTATGGACTGCAGTGATGTCTTCTGCTCTCACATCCTGGATTCCACCTGACATCTCGCTTCCCAACGCAATGGCTGCGCTGTATGGAGAAATGCATGACAGCCTCCTGATGACTAATTGTTTGGTGGGCATTCCAAATGAAATTCCATATTCATCCCAACCACTCTTCACTGCTATACAGTCATCCCCTGAAACTATGTAGCTGTCCTCAATTCTAACATTTGTGCAAGAATCTGATGACCAAATTTAAACAAACAATAATTAGAGATCCACAACTTTATGTTCTTGAAAATTACTGTCGGCTTGAAACAAAAATTAATACCTGGATTGATGCCATCCGTGTTTGGAGATGTGATAGGAGCGATGATAGTGATGCCTTGTACAAGAATATTACTGCATCATCAAATAAACAAAAACCATGAATTAATCATGTCTCTCTCTCACTATGTGTTTTCCACGTGGACGGATGTGATTGAAGAGAGCATAAAATGCTTTACCTGCTATATACTGGATGAACATTCCATGATGGGGAATTGAGAAGCGTTACATTGGAAATTTGAATATTATCCGAGAACATGAATTCGATCATGTAAGGTCGGGTGTATTTCAATTTGCCCTTGTGGAAATTTTGCCACCAGAATGCACCTTGACCGTCGATTGTACCATTGTCCCCTGATAATTAAGCACGATTATAAATTTAGGGCCCATTAATTTGCTAAAAATTATAAAACTTTGTTATTATATACTTATTATTATAATTTTTTTAGAATTTACATTTAATCACTGAAACTCTACCAATACACGCCACCGTTTGCAACTATTATTATGACTTTACGAGCTTGAAATCAATGCTGAGACAAAAACGTAGTTTAAAATTTTACCTGTAACAATGACGTCAGTGAGATTAGTTCCAAATATGAAGCTGGTAAACCTTCCAGCAGCTGCATCCCTTCCTCGACCATACGATGGTAAAGGCTTCAAAACAGGCCATTCGTTCATATCCTAACCCATTTGGTTAGTCATAAAGAGTTAGTAAGATTGGATAAAACATGGACCAAAGCTGCTGTTTTCAACTTTGCTTTTTTTTCGTTGTTGTCTGGACTACCTAATACTATCATAATTCAAAATAAGAAAAAAAATACCATCATAATTCAAAATCACCTACCAACTATTGGTAAGTAGAAATTAGTGGACCGTGTGCATAGAATATGTTTGTAGCACTCATTAAATTGTGATGATTTAAAATTTAATTCAATTAATTTATATAATAATTATTAAAAATAATATTAAACAAATTTAAAATTTAAATTTCAGCACTTTTATATAATTTTTTCCTATCTCTAGTTTACTATCCTCTTTGTAAAAAAATTAAATTAACATTCAGCAAATTTATTAAAATGTGTTTGTAACACTCATTAAGTGAGCGTGAATTTAAAACTTGAATTTAGTCGGTTTATATTGTTATTATTAAAAAATAATATTTAATTAATTTTAAATTTAAATTTCTATACTTATAATTTTTTTTATTTTTAAGTTGCCCTATTTTTTTTATAAAAAATAAAATAAAATAACCGAATAAAACTGTCTATGTTTTACATTTCTGAGTCTTCGCTGGATGCAAGTTCACTAGACTAATTTCAATTTTTATACTAGTTGATCTGCCAATTTTAGTTGAAGTGACACCTGGTAAGATACCAATATCTTTCATGCTTTTGAATCTAAACAGAACCTTATATCCCCAGCAAGAAGGAGTACATCGGACTTCTAGCACGTTTATAACAAAATTAAAAGCATAGGAGGTTAAAAACTTGGAGCATGAAGTTTGATGCAACTTTAACCCCAATAAAATGATGTAATAAAGCAAACCTGAGAAGCAAGAAGAACAGCATCTTTGTGAATATAGAGAGTGAAATGGCTGGTGAGGCTAAAGCTCCCAGTCAGCCATTGTCCTGCAGGAACATATAGCTGAGCCCCGCCATCAGATGCATAGTGGCTCAGATTATTAACTGCATCCTGAAATGCTTTAGTATTTGATATTTTCCCGTCACCAACTCCTCCAAAATCTGTTATTGATGCAGTGTGTCCTCTGCAACTTATAGCTGTGTACTCAAAGGAATCCAGTATCCTTCCTTTCCTGGCCTCAGCAGCTCCTCTTAGACCCAAGTTTAGTGCCACTAAAACAAGAACTGTGGCTATCCTGGTCACCTGCAAGGACAAGAAGGTACAGGGAAGAGACAGTAAGTACCCATTGGAAAAACTCATGAGGAAATGATGAGCTTATTAAATTGTCTTGTATGAATTTTATTGTTAAGGGGAAGTTAGAAGCTTGATTATGAACAAAAGGGAAAAATGGCAGTACAAAAAGGAGCATGTCATGGAACAATGACTATTTTAGATTAAAATAAAAAAAAATGGTAAAAAGACCAGAAACAGCTTTCTTTTTTATTCAAAACAAGAATATATGGAAGCAGAGAAATGGACTGTCGAGTGATTAAAATACCACCTGGAATCTATAACTCTAGTACATTGTTTTGATTTGAAAAGGCTAGAATGCATTATTTGTCTTGTTTGTAAATGAATGGAGGAAAGAAAAGAAGAACTGGGGAAAAAGGCGTGGAGGGAATTTACTTGAGTTCTCATTGGACTCATCCCTAACAACTCCATTGTTGGAAAATGAAGCAGACTAGAACTTGCTTTGTGAAGTGCTAGAGAGACAAATGATGTCTATATAAGGTGAAAGTCCAACTGTTGAAATTTGGATAGGTTCACTTTTTCAGCAATTGGGTTTCTTGTCCTGCTTCAAAGTGAAGCATTGTTTATCATGGTTGTACTCTTAAAATTGTTCTGCTAATAAAATAAAGAAAGTAATTTCTTAAATATTTGATTATTTTCTTAATTTGAGAAAGGAAGTTTGTGGATAGTTAAATTTGGAACACCATTTTCTTCATATGATTTGTGGTTGATGGACAGACATGGAGCACTCTTGTTAAAGTCATTCGTCTCACTCATTAGTACACAAGCATAATGAGGGACTGTGAAAATTGTCACCAATTCCCCACACCTAAAATTTGAAGTGACATAACATTCCAAAGTGTTTTATTATTTATCATTATCATCTTTGTTCTTGCCTGCACTATCCTTTATCTTCACGGGTTAATCTAAGTTACCGGTAAAACTACTTATATTTCCAAACATGGCTGATTTTCTGTACTCAAAACTCATAGGTTCTTAAATGAAGTATTATTGATTCAATTTCTTAAAGTTTGTCTCTTTAAACATCTGAGGAATTAAATAAACATCAGTCACTATCCAATTCCATCTACTCCTGCCGCCCTACCCAACAAACACAGCGCTAGGGAAACAATGATGATAGACCATCGAGAAAAGCGCGGCTGTAATTGGGGCTATCATAAAAAAATGTTTACATAGGCTTGTGACTCTTTTTCTTATCTTGTGGGCACTAAAAGGGGTCGTTTTTTCGCTCCTGGGCCAGTTCTGTTAGAAAGTAGTTAATGGGTCCCCCTCTTCAGTTCACTTTCTTGGAGTTGGCAGGAAAATTTTGATCTCGTGATCCTCTTGGCCCCTCCCTCCACCGCACCACCATTGCCGACCCACTTCACGGGTCAAAAAGCAATGAAAATATTGGTGGGTCCCTCCCTCAATCTCTTCAACATTACTATTAACCCATCTAGAATATACCATCTTTCTGGTTTCCACTTGGATTTCGTTGGTTGGTGTCTCTTGTCAAGTGGAGGTCTCCGAAGTAAAAGACACCGGGTGAGTGAGAGATCATGACTTCCTAATTTTTAAGTAGACGATCGAAGAATTTCAGATCAATAAGTTGACTAGAATGTTGATAAATTGAGTTGGAAGAAAATGTCATGAATCAATTTTACATGGGATTATGATCAGATAAAGGCAAAGAGAGAGTAGATTAATATTTTAATTTAAAATATTATAATAATTTTTGATAGCATAATTATATAAATTTTTAATTTCTTTATAAAGAGTGAGTAATTGATGAATTATTAAGTTGTTTCACCAATTAAGGTACATATTAAATCATTTATTTAAGATTATTTTTTTGATCTTGATAATGATGATAAACTCAATATTTTTTTTTATAATCGTTGTAACTTTTTTAATATTAATACAATATATACATATTTCTTTTAAAGGCATAAAAAATCAAACTGGTGTGTATTTATTATGTCTGAATATTTTATTACCTATCATTAAGATTAATTTGTGATTTGCTTTTGCTTATTGTTTATTGTTTATTTAGATATCAAATTATTTTAATTGATTTATGTGAAAGTATCTATTTAAGTGTCACATGAGCTATTATTTCATAAAAAAAAAAACTTAACCCATAACATGTGATACTTTATAATAAGTACAATAATCTCAGGGTGTCATGGTTCAAGTTCCTCTTCCTTCCAAGTTTCATCCGACTCACTTTCAAAATGTTGTTGATTATTGTTTAATGCAGTCGTATAAACATAAAATTTGTGTTGCTTTCACGTAAACATACAAAAATAAATGGTTTCGATTTTCATTATTGTTGTTAAAATTTGTTTAAGTGAATGTCCCTCCCCTCAAACTTATGTACAAGAATCCAATTAGTGGGGCTCTAATGGCTGAAAAAAATAGCCCTTTTGGCGTCTTCTTATGTAGAAGCGCACTTCACATGAGTCCCATTCTTTGTAAGAAATGCGCTAGTCTCGTCCAAGAAGCAGTTTCTTTTTCGGCTTATTTTGGCCCGTGTTGAAAACTAAAGGGATGTGAGCGGCAATTAAGTTGCTATTATCCTAGGCATGTGAGTGGCAATGTCGGATGATGTTTGGATTTTGGAGTTTTCCGATCCAGTCAACAGACTAGGAATCATTTGAATGTTTGTTGTCCTGTCCTGCAACAGACGACCAATCAGGGGACGGTATGTCTGTATCTTTATTAAGGACTATGGTTCTTCTACTGTAATGAGATTGATGGGACTTAAAAGTTTGAATTGAAAATCTTATCATTTGTATAATTTTTTCATAATAATTATATAATTTGTTGATAAAGTCTTGTTTAAAATGGCCAGAAATCTTCACGTAGTGATGCTACCATGGTCTGCCTGAGGGCACCTGATACCATTCTTTCAACTCTCAAAACCCTGGCCAAAGTTGGTGTAAAAGTCTCATTTACATCAACCCCAAGAAACATCCAACGACTCTCTAAAGTTCCTCCAACTTTAGCAACTCTAATAGATTTAGTGGCTTTACCATTGCCAATCTTTGATGAAGAGCGCTTGCCAGATGGTCCAAAGGCCACGAAAAAATTCAATACATAAAGATTGCATATATATGATCTCCTCCAGCACCCGGTCAAGCAATTCATTTCACATCAACAACCAGATTGGATACTCATTGATGCAATTCCTTATTGGGTTGCTGAGGTTGTCCGCGAGACGCAAATCCCTGTCACTAATCTCTCTGTTTTCATTGCTTCTACATATGTCTTCTTTTTGCAACATAATTTTCCCGTAGCTGATGCCCCAGAAGGAATAGAGCCCTCTCCTAAAAGTTTGACAACACCACCTGAGTTGGAAAAATGTTTTTCTCGTTAGCTTATAAGAGCTTGGAGGGAACTACAATGTACGAGGTGTTGAGCAAAAAGCTCCAACTCAATCAGACATCCAAGCCAATAGAAGAAAAATTAAACAATTAATTAATCACACAAAAAATAATAATTTAACGTGATTTGATTTAACTGATTTACGTTTACGGATAAAAGAAAAATCCATTAATTGTAAAAAATTACAAACATACAATTAAATCAAACATACAATTAAATAAAAAATTCACAATTAATATTTATAGATCTTCTTAATTTTCTCTAATCTTATAAAGTATTCTCAACTCAAACATACACATACCTACCTATGTACACCAATATTTTAAATAATTATATTTGAATAGAAACAATTATCATCTAATAAATAGTCATAACTATTTAAATATAAATAAATTATTATTTATAAAGATTATGATTATATAAAAAGTCATAACCATTTGAATAAAAATTTATATTTATTCATTCATTATAAATAGATATTTTAGTATAACAATTTTTACTACTTCTATTTGAAGAGTTTTGAGTTTTTGTTATATATTAAAAGTATAATTGCCTTTTAAAAAATATTGTTTATGCCTTAAAGCCAAAATTCTTTTCTATTATTTATTTTTTCTAATAGAGATAAGTGATGATGGATCGTTTAGCAGAGATGGCATATCTAAGGCTCTAAGATTGGCCATTGTATCCAAGGAATGAGAGATTATATATAAGGGTCCGAGCTAAAGAAACATCATATTAGACTTTTGAAAATCGAAACCAACAAGATATTTATTTTGATAGTGTTAGGGTATTTTTAGGTCCAAAGAGTAAATCGATGTTTTTTCTTATTAAAAACTATTAAACAAACAATTAAAAGTATTTTTTACTTTTGGGATTGACTTAACATATATAATGTCATGTCAATTCGAGTACATTACTATTTTATCCTACAAACCCCTTACCTTTCACCTATAAATAGAGACATCTAGTTACTATTTATCCATATGATTATTTCCTTTACTTTCTTAATTTTCTCTTCTTTCGACTTCCCTTATTTTAACTTTTACTTTGAGCATCAGATTACAAACATAGGAAACACTTTTTACCTTTACTCTTAACCTCTCTCTTTTCTTTATGAGATTTTAGGTTTTCACCCTCAATTTAAAGTTTGGCACAATTAGATAAATTTGTTCAATATATGAAGAAAAATGGAGCTGCAACTGATCACAGGCCATAATAATCTTCCAAAGAAAAAAGATTATGAGCAGTAAATTTCTTTATCTTTTCAACTATTTGCAAACTTTAAAAAAGTAATGCTACATTCAATAATCAGCATGTGCCAAGCCTAAAAAGTCAAGTGTGTTACAAAATTATTCAAATAATTAAGGTTTGGTTACTTTTGTATTGGACTAGGTAATAATGTGTATCTAATTATATTTAAAGGCTTGTAATTATTGTTTTAGGTTGAGTTTTTCATCTACAAAAAGATTGAAGTGAAGATTTTTAGATGAAATTTCAGAAAATTTTTTTATTAAAATCGATTAAATAAAAATTAAAAATCAAAACTGATAGAATGAAAATTCTTATTACATAAATCAAATATGTAAATTAAAAAAAATTTTAATAAATTTTGATATGTTTTTTTATATAAACATTTTTAGTTAAAATTTTACCAAAATTTTTATCATTAAATAAGCATTGATTAAATTTAATTATAAATGACATTTTCGATAATTTTTTTTTTTACATATTATTGATTTTCTTATTAAACTTTATCAATCTATTAGTTTAAATTTTTTATTAAAATTTTTATTAAATAATTTTTAATAAAAATTTTTTACAAATTTTACTCAAAAAATTTCATATAAAATTTTCCCTCATATATAATAAAATATTAATCGTAATACCTTTTAGCTTATAATATGGAAGTTTGATCCTATTTAAATTGATACATATGATGATAATTTAATACAAGTTACTATTTAATTATTTATCTTAATGTGCTATTTTTTTTACAAAATTTTTTGGTTAAATTATTATATTGTCATAAAAAATACTATTTTATCATCATAAGATTGGTTCAATTAATTAAGTTCGATCTAATCATTATATAACACATAAATTTGAATCAATTAATTGTACATCTTATCTTATTTTCAAGTCGAAATAACTTATTTTTCTCAAAATTTAAATAAAAAATAGAAAATACTTATGATAAGCTCTTGGTAGGTTAGAGTGTTAATTCACATGAAAAGGACACTC